GACTAAAACCTCCCCCGTTCCTACTCCTGGTCTGGGCAGAGGCCGCGGTGACTCAACAAAAGTTATACTTAACAATTTTCTAAGAACTATCGATTCCTCAATCCAATTGGTCCCTATGAAGCTTAAGTAAATACAAAATAAGCATCCTGGGCGCGGCGTTAGCGTCCGATTAGTTGTGTGATTTAAAGTTGAAGCTTATATCATTTTTGTTACGTGCGCCATCTGTTGGCCAATTACTGGGACTACCTCCAAAATGTGACGAGATTCTTGAAATGATTTATGAATGTTCAATATTTATATACACAGTTTTGTTTAATTAAATTATTATGATACATAATAGACAATTTTTATGTCATAATCTAATCTAAAAAGTATGCATAAAAACTAAAGATTTCGTTCTATATTTATTATATTTAAACAAGAGTCTATGAGCTTTTTGCCTAGTACAAAATACAGAAAGGAGAAAAATTAAATGAAAGAACAAAATGATGTCGCCATTTTTGTCAAGAACATTAAGAAAATAAAAATATCACCTGAATATAGGAATAACGATAGTAAGTACGAAACATTACTATCGCTGAAGACTTATAAATACATTATCACCTACTCATTTCAATTAGCAATATTGTAGCTAAAGAACTTTATATTATTATTTGTTCAGGCTCTACACCAAAATAATCATTTTTTTTATAAAAACGTTGCCTTACTAAACGTTGCTCCACTTTAGGATTTTCTCCTGTGTTGTGGGTGCGTTTCCAAACATACAATATCACAACCACATAAAACCCAGACCCGAAACAACAATTTGTGGATCACACAAAGTGTTGTTCCGTGCGGGAATCGAACCCGCGACACGTACGGCAGCCAGTTGCCCAGCCACCGCACCAACCGTGCAGTCAGTTATTAGATTTATGAGAAAAATTAATAAAGAAGAAGAAAGTAATAGATTACTTCACAGAATTCACATAGAGATTACTTCATGATACATTTACATTACATGGATTCGCTACACCAGAGAAGTTCTAAGTAAGCCGACCACTAAGTAAGAAGGAATTTGGGGATTTGGGAACTTAACCCCATGTTTTGGGGAAGAATTGGGCCTCTGATAAAAAACCACACACGTTGCTTCACGCTTACATTTCTTTAAGTACTCCTTTATTTATAAGTAATTTTACTAATTTTACACTACACCCTTGTAGTAATTGTACATAATCTATGGGCCTAAACTATTTTCCAGACGTAGGGCACAGATAATTACCTCCGAACTTCAGTGTGCGTACCATCTATATGCTGACGACTTGCAGTTGTATTGTCAAGCGAGGGTCGAGGATTTGCCTGATGTGATCTCGAGATTGAATGCGGACCTGGCTGCCTTGAATAACTGGTCAACAAAGTTTGGGATTGCCGTTAATCCGAGTAAGTGTCAGGCGATAATTTTGGGGAGCTCCCGTACCTTCGGAAGGGTTGACAGCAAAGCTGTGCCACCTATCCTTTTTAACGGTGCGATCATCTCGTTGAGTAGTGATGTGAAGAATCTCGGCCTATACATCGATAATTGTCTAACCTGGCGGGCTCACGTCGATGTTGTCTGTAAACGGGTAACGGGAACGCTTCGGGCACTATATCGTTTGAAAAATTTCCTTCCGTCCTCCACCAAGGCAATGCTTGTTCGATCCTTGTTGTTCCCTATCATTGATTATGCGGATGTCTGCTATTACGACCTGAATGCAGATCTACTTAACAAACTGGACCGCCTTCTGAATAACTGCATTCGATTCGTCTTCAACCTGCGCAAATACGACCATGTCTCTGCCTATCGATTGCAACTAAAGTGGTTGCCCATACGTCAGCGCAGGGAACAACGCGCGCTAACCACTTTATTCTCACTTCTCTGTTCCCCTACTTCTCCTAGTTATTTGGCCCCTTATTTTCAGTATGTAAGCGCCAACCATAGCAAATATCTTCGGTCCACAAATAATCGTCTCCTCCACTGTCCCTCGCACCGGACTGACTTTATACATTATTCTTTTCCTGTCCAATCAATTTTGCTGTGGAATGCGTTGCCCACGGATATCAGGACGGCAACCAGTCGGCTATCTTTCAAATTTAAAGTTCGGAATTACTTGCTAAAGAAACTGACAGATTCCACTAATTAGTGTATTGTTGTTTTTGTTCTTGTATATATTCGTAATCTATTCTTCCCATATTTAATTATATTATTTATGTATTATTTATATGTTATATGTGTATTTGTAGATTAGATTTATTGTATTCATATATTATGTTTTGTATTATATGTAAATGTTGCCTTACATGCCTGTACTTTTTAATCATTGTGTGCTTGTTTAAAACCTATTATAACACTTCTCTGCATCACCCTTGAGGTTGACTGGTAGAGAATGCCTTCGGGCATTAAGTCCGCCTTTGTATATATGATTTTGTATGTACGTAAAGTGTTAAATAAATAAATTAAATAAATAAATAAGGCCCACTATGGCTAATGTCCTGCCGAGCTTGGGTACAAGGTACTAAAGGTACAAGGGTGCCGCGGCTCCTGCTTGGAGTAGGAGAAGAAACGAGTATAGTTTAAGTCAGTCAAGAGTGTGAGACTCTCTCTTGCCTCACCCTGGGCTCAAGAAGTATTAGAATGTCAAAGTCAAAGTCAAAGTCAAAATTATTTATTTCAATTAGACCCATACAGGCACTTTTGAACGTCAACACAACTTTAAAGATACAAAGTGTCAGTCTGTCGGTCAGTCCTTTTAGTGAAGCTATTCGCTCGTTCCAAAGTGTAGATTCCGATGGAGAAGAACGAGCAAGAAACTCCATGGTTACTCTTTTTGATTTTAATGATTCTTCAACCAATAAAAAAGAACTTATTATAAACTCACTTTAAACTACACACATACCTAATATTAGGTTAGCTCATACACCAAAAATGATAAGCACCTAAGTACTACAATATGTACCTCAAGTGGTTTGTTTACTTAAGGCGATATCAAAATAAGAGCGACTCCTATTCGTCTTCCTTATCAGTAACCACGCCTTGAGATAAATTTATTTGGTAGTGAAAAAATAAACTCCAATGAATGGTCTCAAATTTATCTAAAGTTATACTTCAACTGACCCAATACTGATAAAAACACTCCAATGAAAAATATTAAGTTTATCAATAAGCAAATAAGTCAAGGCGTCACTGGGTTGGACTAAAACTTAGGTATCTCTAGTAATGTAATGGTCAATCAAATATTTTGGAATCTTTCTTCTTTTTTTTTGTGTTTTAGTCGTCGAATGAGCAGGCGCATTTCCTGATGGTAAGCAATGCCGCCAATAAGCAGCACCTCTCATGGAAACTTGCATTGGAGGATGTTCGAGTGCGTGGTCGACCTTTTAGGGATTTGGGATTTGGAGATTTAGGGATTGGGGGAGGGGAAGGATTGATTGATATATATTGATTGATAGAGGGAAGGATTCTGGTAACATCACTCACACGGCTAAACACAACGGTATGGTTGTTTCACGCCGGTTTTCTGTGAGGCCGTGGTATCGAGCAGACCCTTTTCTGCCGAAGCACGGCTCTCCTACACTTAGAATGCTTAGAAATACTAAGAGTAATAATCTTCAAATACCTTTTTTTCTATGAATAGGTCACATGGCTAGTACGTTTGGTACTTGAAATCCAATTAAAGTAGGAGCGACCCCAAATCATAAGGGACCTCACATCGCAAGGGAATCCATATAAACCTTCGATTACCAATAAAAACAAATGACAAATCAGTGTCCGATCTAGTTGAACAACGCCTCGCCTTGTTCCTTGCCAATCTTTTCGCCTTCGTGCTCGCGAAAGCATTTTCATCAACATCACATAGATGGTTGGCAGTCAACAACTGTGCGATTTACGAGAAACTTTCTACCCGGCACAGCAAAAGTTTGGAATGATCTTCCGGCGGCGGTATTGTCGAACCGATACGACCTTCAAACCTTCAAGAAACGAGCGCATTCCTTCTTAAAAGGCTGGCAACGTGCCTGTGACTCTTCTGGTGCCGCAGGCGTCCATGGGGAGTGCCTACCGCTTACCATCAGGTGATACGTCTGCTTGTTTGCCTCATATTTTAAAAAAAACAACGAAGAAAATACAGTGCTTGGTAGGCAGTCAGCATGTCTAAACGAGACAAAAAAAAAAAGTAAAGCCAAAAACATTCTGCATACCTACCGATATATTTTCTCAGCGATTACTCTAAATTGGCACATAACTTACGAACAAATGCACCAAATTGGATAATACTTTAAAAATATTACTTCTGGTGGCTCGTCCCATATCACACGAGCAAAAAGTTCTAAACAGTATACGTGAATATTATACCCGTTGCATATACGTCCGTAACCACGGAATTCCGTAACTGTCAATGAATCACTCTTATGAGTCCTAAGTGTAAAGATTATGTTTACAAGCTTCTTTATTACACGACTACCCAAACAGGAGTGTTATGTTTTCAGGGTTCATTTATGTGTATGAATTTCTATATTTCACTGTCACTTCCAAACATCATCATCATCAGCCTTTAAGTGCCCACTGCTGAGCAAAAGCCTCTTCTCACACGGAGAATGTTTGAGAATTAATCACCACTCTTGCTCTAGGCGGATTCAAACTTCCAAACGCCTTGGCAGAATAAGACATACAGCATATCATTGGAATCGTTATATCATTCAGGGTGATAAAGGCTTAAAAAATGGTTGTGTCTTAAAAAAACAATGGAGTTGGCCACAGGGCTTAAATAACAAATAATATATTTAAAAAAAGTTCTCAAAACACGTGGTGCTGATTTGATAATGAAGCTGGAAGGTGTCACAACTTATCAGTGTTTTTTATCGCCTGGACGAGTATATAATTTTTCGATGGTAATTACCTTCTAATAATGGAGGTAATCAAGCGTCAATGGGATTCCTTTGAATTTGAACAGTTTCGTTCCAAAATTTAAAAGACATATCTAAAACAAATAAAATTTAATGAAAATATCTTAACATTTTTATTATATTTACATTACAAATTAAACCAACAATAAGGTTATCTACAATATAACTTCATGGTATTATCGTTCTCAACATAGGGCGCTAGAAATGAAACAAATGAAAATGTAAATAAATGAATGTATGTGCGTTCGTATGTGTATTAAGTATAAGTATTTGTTTAAGAAATGTATAGTAGTGTGTTTTTTTGTGTGTCTTTGTGCGTATAATATATGTGTAAGTTCAATATTTACATTATCTCCTCTAAGACTAACTTCCAAGTTCCTTGAAATTATCTTCTTAAAACTTTAGCACCCAATTGTACCATGAATTCGAACATTAAATGAGTAGGCTCTTCCCTTTTGTGATCGGAAAAGGAATCTAACAAAATTGCTCCGAAGACCTCCTTCAAGGATATTGATGCTTGGTTCCTGGCTGGTTCCAACTTCAGTCACTCGGATGGATGTTATATTTGAATATTCAACTGCACGTATCAATACCTCTTGCGTTTGCACCACGTAGAGCGCTGCTTCAACTTCGTGATTGGTACTGAAGAGAAATAAAATGAAAATTAAATAAACATTCATAATGATAGATTTTTATTGTGAAAATGTTCTTGTTGGATTTTGACCTGAAGTTACTACTGAACTTAAGTGATCCAACTAATAATTTATCTCTCATCTCATCAAAGGACCCCTAAGAATGATTCAGCATTTCTTCTAAGATTCGTCAGATAAGAAAAGCTGACTTCATCTGGATTTTTTTAATATAATGTTGACATATAAAATAATGTTGGCTGCTAAATGGCATATTTACAAAAAGAAACTATTATTCCAAAAAGATGAAAGAATTTCGTCGTTTTGAAAAATCCAAATAAGTATAAATATTATTTTCTGTCAATAAAGTTATTGAGTATTTTTTTTTATTTTAAATTAGCACGAGCAAACTAAAATTAATACCACCACTCATTTTTTTTTTGTTTAATCAATCTCATATAGGATCGTCTATTTCACAAACAATTTGTTGATTCAATAAAGAATCCAATCACCTCAAAAAATAAATCAGTCTTACTTGGATAGCAGTCTATCATCAGCTCCAATGCTTCCCAAGATCAATCCACTACGTGTCTCATCTGCAACACTGGTATCAACTTCTGTCGCAAACGCGTAGCCAACTGCGACACAACCAGCCCACAGTACGACAGCGAATACGCTCTTCATCTGCAAGAAATTCAACCGTTAAATATTTTTGTCGCTGAATTTTAGGTTTACTTTTTTTTATGTAATAGCTCGGCAAACGAGCAGACGGATTACCCGATGGTAAGCAATCAGCGCCGCCCATGGACACTCGCAACGGAGGAGTTACGAGTGCGTTGCCGACCTTTTAGGGATTAGGGATTTGGAGATTTAGGGATTGAGGAGGGATTGGGGAAGGGGAAGGATTGGGCCTCCGGTAACCTCACTCACACTGCGAAACACAACGCAGTGGTTATTTCACGCCGGTTTTCTGTGAGGCCGTGGTATCACTCCGGTCGAGCCGACCCATTCGTGCCGAAGCATGGCTCTCCCACACTTAAAAGACCCTTACTTAATAAGACTTCGTCGTTTCACAAAACCAGTATCAAACAATGTTATTTTATGATAGGCCGGCAAACGAGCAGACTGATTACCTGATGGTAAGCAATCAGCGCCGATCATGGACACCCGTAACAACAGAAGAGTTACAAGTGCGTTACTGACCCTATCGAGATTTAGATATTTTGGGATTGGGGTAGGGGAAGCATGGGGCCATAGGTAACCTCATTTACCCGTGTCCCAATGCCGAACCCTCGCATTGCCGACAACGCACATGTCTCTTTCTCCGCCTATTAGAACTCTTTAAAGATAACTCAGATTGCTTACCATCAGATAACACGCTTGTTTGCCTCTTTATCCAAAAATATAAACCTGTACAATTTTGACACACGAAACGGAGTATGTAAATGTCTAAATTAACAAAAATTCTTACCTTCGCGGCTGAAAAATGAACTCCCTAACGCGCCAAAAACCTTTTGATAACTTTTCTTATGATTCAGTATTTATATTGGCATATATGTACAGGCGAAAGTAAAGATAAGATTAATATCTACAAATACAATCAATTGTAAATTTCATTACTTATTAGCTTATCTCATTATTTTTACTTGTAAATTTTTGACATATAGGTATGTATAAAAAGATATGATCTGATTTCAGATGCCCCGGTTAATAACTTGTAGTGATTGTAATCCTTTTACTTATTTATATTAAAATAATAATATTATAATTATTTACTCTCACGCGTGTGTAAAACTTTATATTATCAGCCCATCAGTGCCCACATAGACCTCTTCTTATCCGGAGAAGGTTTGCTGCTGAGCATTATTCACAATGACTCAAGGCGGATCTCAAATTTATATTATAAATTTCCAGTCCAGGTTTCGTCTCGATGTTTTCCTCCACTGCGTGTCAGTGGTGTCTAAATAACCATAGAAAGTACATAATAACTTAGAAAAAGTCACATTGCTGCTTCCAGGTTTCGGACCGCCTTAGCATCTGGACTACCAAGATACTAATGCCTTCCGCCAGCATTCATTCTTTCACCTGAACCAACCTCTATATACTATTATTACTAATGTTAAGCTGACTGGGTTTGTTAGTTTAATTGAGCAGGCTATGGAACTACTGATTCCGATATAACTATTACTTTTGTGCTAGACTGTTCCCTTCTAGAAGACACTTAAATATACAAAACATAACATTATGACTAATAAGAGCTTAGGGTCGTAAAAATGTGATAGCTAGTTTACTTTAAAAATCCGAAAGAGACTGTCATTTCAAAAAGAAAAAAAAAATAATCATATTATTATTATTATAGCAATAACAATGAAAAGTGACAACCCTATCATAAAAACTAAATAATCTTCAAATAAAACAACGTTATTGACACACATTTTGGGACTTTACAGCTTACATATTATTGTAGCCGTTGATTTCACGAGAAATAGATAACCTTAATAGGTCGAGTGAAATATTTTATATAAATTGAGGTACTTTTTAGAATCTTATCAAAGTTTTAACAGTGCTCGTAGAAGTTTACCATTTTGGAAATTTAAGGTAACTATATTTTCGTATTAAGTTATTTTCTTGTTTTTTTATGTTTTAAAATAAAATATTATTAAAATCCTACACATTAAGGTCTATGAAATACTGGACTTTATGATACAAGTAGGTACTTAGTAAAAATAATAAGCTATCGAAATAAAATTGTGACCTAGTTGCCAAATTTACAAGACGACGACGTTTTTACAATTCCAAAAAATTATGAACATTTAAATATCCTCCTTGAAAGAAACATGGAAAAATAGACCTTCTTTTTGTTTCAATAAGATTAGAATCAGCAGAAAAAAATGGTATGTGATTTTAATTGAAAGAAAATTATTTTCAGATGAAGGTCTTTTTAGTTATATTATCAGCAGCAGTAGTCACAGCAGGAGTCACTACCAATGAAAGGGAACTAGGAGAAGTACCAGAAGTACCAGCAGTACCAGAAATAACAGAAGTACCAAAAGTACCAGAAAATAAGAAACTTCCTCTTTCAGATTTAGACAAAAATGAGCTGGATATACCAAACTTGCCAGAAGAAGATGACTTAAATGTGCCAGATTTACCAGAAGACACTGATCTGGACGTACCAGATGGTGAAACAAAGGGAGATCTTGATGATGAAGCTGATTTAGCAACTGCAAGGAATAATCTGTCTTTCGGAACTTTTGGTTCAAACGATAGGCTGATGTCAAGGTAGGTTGTATTGCTATTACCTGACTCAACGTAATCACCATGACATGACCGTACTCTTGCTTAAAATACCAGTAATGCACTTTTAACTACGCTGGTATTCCATTTGCAGCAGCATAATGGGTAATGTGTGGACAAATTATTTTGTAGACCATTCCCGTCGATAAAGTTTTTTCTGATTGAGATGTCTGGTGAATCATTTATTTTTCACATATTGTGCGAATCCTGCAGGTTCAATCCCCGCACACAATATATTTTTTGTATAATCTTTTCATCGTTGTTCTAGGTTCATTTTTTATAATTACAATTTGGTGTTACTCAGCCCCCGAGACACGGAAGAAAACGTCTCATAAACTCATATGATTTCAGGATCACTCATAACGTTGCTGCTGCTTCTTTATTGATCCATGACCAAGAAATCACTTTCCGTGGAGTGAGAGGAACTAATATCACAGCCATCAGAGTAAACCAAGTCGGGTCAAATAATCCCACGGCAACACGTATTGCTGGTGGACTTGGAGAAGAATTTGTCACAATACGAATTATGTCTGGCAGAGGACGGTCATTTTCCTACACAATCTTAGTTTACGCTGAAATAAATTGTTCAAATAATTAGGTTATAATTACGTAACTATTTGAAGAGGTATCTCGACTAGTTTCAAGCTATGCCAGGGCTCGTAATCATTTACAGCGTTGCTCGAAATCGGTGCGGTGATGAACAACTCGAAATGCCTCGTCAAAGTTTCAAGGAGTAACTGCCGTATTCAGAGGTATTTTATACATAATGATTAATACAATACCTCGGTGATAGTTTCTTTCAAACAATTGTATAGCATTAGGTTAAGTCCCCATTCGTCCATATTTTTGTGTCCCAGACTTTGAGAATGGGGGTCATTCGTACGATAAAAATCCTTTAATATGCCTCAAGAGAGTTAAGTAAATACCGAGATATACTTTTGCTGTACTCATACATTATACCGTACCGAGTTTTATTTAAAGTCGCTTCAATAGTCTATTGGTCTATATGCTTTTTGACTTAAACTATGCATTGTAACTGATCTTAATACAGATTCAATGCGACTTGACTCGGAACTAGTTGGGTAAACTCACCTAATTGTGTCACGTTCTTAATTCGGAACTTAGGGCCTACCACTACATGTTAAAGCGTCAAGCTTCCGGGCGAGAAAGAGGGAGGGAGCAATACATCTTTTATAGCTCCATCTCTCTTTCTCGCCCGGAAGATTAACACTTTATCACGTCATGCTAGGCCTACTGAACCCTATATGTAGTATACAGGGTATACAGGGTTCCGTTTAATGAATTGGATTTTACTTTAACTATGCTGTGGAAGTGTCCATAACGTTGAAACTCCGAATTAAGTAAGTCACACAATTAGGTGAGCCACAAGGCAAAATAATTAAACACTTTTAGGTTAGGTGAACTTAAACAATTATAAACCAAATAAAATTATTTATTATATTTACAGACTTTGACATTTAACTTAGAGGTATCACATGCTTACAGAAATGTTTTTTACCTATTTGTATCTGATTCTAGGTAGAATCTAACATAATCATTAATTTCATCGTATTTTTTATTTGTATATGTATATGTGTAGTTTAGGGATCAATATGAAATTTCGACATTTAATTTATCCTGGTAATAAGAAAAAGTAAATAAAATTAATTAATCTTAAAATTTCTTCCAGTTTTATTTTTTATTTCTAAATTTATTATCTGATGTGTTTCCTTTTCATCTGAAGCGTGTTCATGGAAAGTCTCTTAAATATAATATTTTTAGCTTTCATCTAGCGTACTTATAATTTAAAAATATGTACTCAATTGAAATCTCGTAAATAAACGCTGTAGTCACTAGAGGGTGCTAGTAGAGCATAACACTGAGTGTATATGAGTGTGTATTTACAAGTGTGATAAGATGCTTAGAATAGTTTGTGTCATAAGATGCTTAGAATCGTTTATGTGTCTGTAAGTTCATGTGTACGCGGAAGTGTATAGAATCTTTATCGTACTATTTAATTACTAATTCAGACGCAGTACCTATAGAAATCGTTTTTTCATTAGTTTAGCACTCAATTGTACCATGAATTCGAACATTAAATGAGTAGGCTCGTCCCTTTTCTGATCGAAAAAGGAGTTTGACAAAATTTTTCGTGAGACCTCCATCAATGATATCGACGATTGCATTCTGACTGGTTCCAACTTCAGTCACTCGGATCGATGTTATCTTCGAATATTCAACTGTACGTATTAGTACCTCCTGCATTTGCATCACGTAGAGCGCTGCTTCAACTGCGTGATTGGTACTAGAAAATGGAAAAAATAGGCATCGTATAATTGCTAATGTATGTCAAAGAAGTGACATTTCGATCATTCTTGATCAAGGTAACGTTAAAATAGAGTAGCCCATCCATGAAGGTAACCGATTATTCCAAAATTCCACACATTTGTAATTGGTCCATCATCAGTATGATCACAAACTTGACGATTAGGTATAAGCACGACGTATGGAGTTTCGATGACCATTCAATATTTTGGTATCGTCGAGATGGACTGATGAAACCCCTATCCTATCAGTAAAAATATCGTGGTTGCGCTCATAAGATACGAGTATGTTCATACCTTATTATGACGAAGGAAGAATTTTACTGAAAGCGTTTTCATAACATTATAAAACTCAAAGGCGCCAAGCATTTATTGAGTTTGTCGTTCGAGAATCGCCCAGCTATCCCCTCGCTAGCTGACGCAGTAGTAGCAAACTTTTTTGTTTTAGAAACTGTAATTGTTGACGACTATATTATGTATTGCGCGTTAGAAACAAAAATTATGAACCTACAAGATGCTAGTCATCAGCTGGTCTCACAGCCATTGCACATAGTTAACATTGAGAATTAAATGTGTAATTAATTATATTTAAAAAAATATTGATCATACTTGGATAGCAGCCTATCTCCAGATCCAATGCTTCCCAAGGACAAACCACTGCGTGTCTCCTCTGCAATACTATTTTCAACTTCTGTTGCCGACGCGTAGCCAACTGCGACACAACCAGCCAACAATATGCTGACGAATATGCTCTTCATCTGCAAGAAGTTTAATAATGGTGTACTAGCTCTTTATGTTTCTTGAAATTAAGGCACCCCTTCTCATATAAGAGGGTGGAATTTTGAAACTGGCAAGTAGCAAGTTTCAGTTGAAAGTTGAAAAACATCGAGAGAAAACCTGAACGTATAAATTATAACTTTTAAATACAGGGGGTCTACTCTCTTTCTTCGAAACGAAACTTTCGGAAACGAACGAAAGTCGAACGAAAGAACGTTGACGACCCTACTCTGTTTTATTTTCGGACACGCATACGAAGTTCGATCCAGAGATAATTTTCGTGAACGAATGTAATTGTGTAGGTTCTTTATAATGTGATTTGTGGTAAATTACGGTTTTTACTTAAAGTTAAAATAACAAATTCTCTGGCTGTTTCTTTAAATTCCACATTATATATGTGGTTTGTAAAACTATTACTTATAATATGCCACGCAGAAAATAAAAATATATTTATTTTTGACGGAATTGTAATTTATCGTGTAATTTATCATCGTTACCTTATAAAACACTCTTTTACAGACATTTATAACCGACTAATTTAAAGAGTACTATTTTATGCCAAGAAAGGGTTGTTATGTATGACGACCAAAAATGGCTGTATTCGGACCGTGCACGACATGTGTCAAAAAATTAATGTCAACAGATTGTTTATTTTTATCAATGTACCAGTTAATAAAATATACTACAAAAGACAATAAATATATGTGGTGAAAGGAATTTTATTGAATTGTATATATTGAATTGTATAAAAAATGGATATTATTAAAAAAACATGATTTGAGTGTTATAAACACACAATCATTTTCCAACCCCAGACTGTGCTAAAAGGTAAAATTGGTGTTAGAAGAACATGTGAGGGATGTGGAAGAACAAAGAACTAATGTGAATAATAATATGGCTGTGCGTTAATATTGACTGTGTAGTGGTGGAAGAAAATTGTGTGACAAAGCGAGTCGAAGCTAAATGTCCAATTATTTACATTTGAAAAGAAACCTGCCGTTGAATTTGATAAAAATGTATGCAATGTTAATTAAAACAAATTTTAAAAAAATGTAATAGAATAACACTCATGTTCAATTACAAATGTATGTAACTGGGATGGCAATGTGTGATATTTTTATTTTGAGCATTATTTGGTAAATAATGCTTTTTTATGTTAACTTAATATACTTGGATGTGTTACAGTAATGATATTGCTTTAATGTTATATAAAATGCTAATAAGTTGTTTAAAATGATACTCCTTGTTATATCTGTTCTAATAGAAAATTGAAATTTAATTTAAAATGATACCTAATATTTTTTTTAAATTTTTGTTTTATAAGTGCAGAACCATAGGAAATAAAACTCAGTATTTTTTTCAAAAGTGTTATTTTATTTACTTCCCCATTTTTACATATTTGTGCCGCGACGATAGCAGCAATTGGTTTCTTTACCCCTTCCAACTAACTAACACGTTCCAAATAATCGGAGTACCTACATGCAAACATATCATAACAATAACATACAACTTATGAGTTTTTGTTTGAAAACTTTTCTAAAAGTTAGTTTCTCGTAGCTCCCAAAATAATAGGCGACTGTCCTACAAACTCTAAGTCGGGAATTTGACTTAGGTATATTAAGTAGATTGCGCAGGCAGCGCCGGTTCCTTCTACGCTCTAAGAGCTTCGATTTAGAGCATTGTTGTAGCCATTTCAAACAATTTTCATACAAAATCCACACTAAACGAAAATTAAAAGGTAACACTTTTGGTTTCGTCAATTTGAAGTAAAAAATCCGAAAAATCGTCTGTCAAATTCAAAAGTTCGTTCGGAGCTAATAAGGATTAGAGTAGGTTCTAAATGTCAAAAAATTTCGTTCGAACGATATTTCTTCTCGATCGTATTTATCATGGGTGCTCTGAGGAATTGGTCGGTTTGATCCCCGCCACATCTTTTCGCCATCTTTCCACGCGAACATTTTCATCCCCATCACAAAGATGGTTGGCAGTCAACAAATGTGCGACTTACGTGAAACTTTCTACTGATACGACCTTCAAACCTTCAAGAAACGAGCGGACTACTTGTTGAAAGGCCGGCAACGTACCTGCCACTCCTCTGGTGCTGCGGATATCCATGGGCGGCCCCGATCGCTTACCATCAGGTGATCTATCTGCTCATTTGCCTCCTATTCCATAAAAAAGGCCTTCACTTGCCCTGCACACATGAGGGGTTTGCCAGAAATGCGGTAGTTTGAGAAAAAACTTTTTTTTAAACTAACAAAATAAGTATATCAGAGATCGCTGCTTGGTCTCTAAAACGAGTGTTCCTTATAAAACTTACGGGATAAATATGTATAGTAATATTTTTCAATGTACCGAAAGTAGAGGGTACAAAGTGACAAATCCATTTTGCAATAATACCTTATATATTATATGGAATTTAATGGACCTTCGTCCAATGCATATATGAACATCACTGATGACACTAAATCAAAATACCGGCGTGTAGCACACTTGCATTTTGTTGGCTTTGTAATCGATGTTACCAGAGGTCGAATCCTCAAATCCCCATCTTTGAATCCCTAACTACTAAAAGGCAACATGGTTTAACCCCTTGGGACTTAGCGAAGTTAAAAAAGGAGAATTAACTTACCTTTGCAGCTGCAAAAATTAACTCACGTTCCAAAATCGTTTTCTAATAAATCACTCTGTATTTATATTGGCATTAACACGTAAAAAATAAAGATAAGGTAATACCTACACTACAAATTAATTAAATACTTAAGAAAATTATTAGCTTATCATATTTTTTACTTAAAAGATTTAACGTATTTCTAAGTAGTAGTATTGTAAAGAAGATGGGCACTTTAGCCGCGTCTTCGCTCGCGTATTCATTATTTGAAACGATCCCTCCAACCAAAAGAAAACACATCCTATACTATTTTGAGCTTTTCAAACATCTCCATATGAAAATCATGAAGATATTATTTTTTTTTAAAAATGTATCCATATTAATGACAGTGGGAGTCCTTTTAAAACGGCTTCGAGAAAGAAAGCCTTAAGGATTGACAAGTTCGTCAAACAGTTTTTCTTTTTTGATTCCTATCCGTAAACCCCGATAGATAAAGGCTATATCTATCACTATAGATAGGAAAAATCCGATTTCCGAATCCAAGATTTTTTCTTAACTACGTCGAAGGGCGAACCAACGCGTTCCATCTTCTGCTCCAGACAGGGGCTTCTTTGCTGGGATTAGGCTTGCACCTTTGGTTACGGATCTATTTTGCCTATTGTGAATGTATGGTGAACACTTTTATCAAAAGTTACAAATTGTAACTGACAGACAATTTGAAAATGAATAATTAATTACCACGTAATATCTCTTCCCATTAGTATCATTAAATCAAATAATCTTTTAATAAATTTATGACCGATGAGGCCTTGCATTTTAGGACTTTGCAGCTTAATAATCATGTTAATACAGCTGATGATAGAAGACATTAATAATCCTATCTTGATTGATTGACCAAGTATTTTAATATAAATTGAGATATTTTTGTTGAACCTTATCAAAATTTTGACAGTGCTCATAGAAGATAACTAATTTTGGAAATAAAGGTAAACTATATTGTTTCATTTTTAAAACTTAATTGTTTAAAATATCATTTCCTGTGTTATAATTATAAAACCATTATAAAATCCTCAAAGGGAGGCAAAGTCTTATAATGCACAAATCTCCCGGTGTAGATCCTTACAGAGTCCACCGTGAGAGGAGATCTATTGCAATAAAAAATATGACATCAAAACAAGCTCAAAAAAGTGCACATTCAACTCACAAACGATTTTCTTGTGGGCACAAGAAAATTGTTATACCTTTTACAGACCTATTTTCATATTACGCTGTTATAAACCAGCATGCAAATGACCATTTAAGGTGCACACTTTTATTTTGCATCATTACAACACATTGGCATCGGTACATAACTTTCGACACCTTACAGTAAAATACAAAATCACAGGTCACTGGACAAAAAAAAACACTACAACGAAATATCAATAACAGTGCATTCCTAAAATGTTGAAAATAGTAGACTAAAGTAGTGAGCAATTTAAATTTAAATAATTTTCAGATGAAGACATATCTAGCAGTCACGCTATTAGTGGCAGTAGTCACAGCAGGAGTCACCACCAATGAACGAGATTTAGCAGTCGTACCAGAAGACAAGAAGCTTCATCTTTCAGACTTTATTGAAAGAGAAGATCTTTATGTACCAGATTCACCAGAAAATACTGATCTGGATGTGCGAGAACTTGAAATAAAAGGAGAAGAGGATGAAGAAACTAATTTAGCAACTACTAGGAATAATCTATCTTTGGGAAGTTTTGGTTCAAATGATAGACTGATGTCTAGGTAGGTTGCATTAACAGATAGTTGGAAAATACTACTGTTGTAAAATATTGGTAGTATGTCCGTTGACCTTTGGCGGCAGTGGACATCTACCATTATCCATCTACAGAGTCAGCTCTCCCTTATTTCATAGAAAAATCATATGACATTCTGTTCTCGTCAATCCAAAAGTACTAACTAATTGATCTGATAAGGAAGTCTGTTGAATCGTCTATATTTTTTTTTCACAAAACTTACTGAAAAGACGAACCCATAAAATAACATTTCTTTGAAATTGCTGATGTAGATCCATTTTTGGTCCTCTTTTTTACTTCATATTCATTATTGCTCAGACCCTGATTACCCTTTTGCGTCACTTTCTCTTTTTTCACTATCTTCCTAAATCTTACTCTTTATGGCGGTGTGGAGGGCATTGTGGATAGTAGAATCTAAAGTCATCATATCTATAAAAACTATTTTTTTATATATGTTGTTGACTTATCTCGTTTTCACCTAAGGGTCTATCGGTATATTACAGAACTCGGTGTCCTTTATATCATCTACTTAGTGTTTGTCAACGACATACAAGAAAACGTTTTAAAAATCATATGATTTCAGGATCACTCATAACGTTGCTGCTGCTTCCCTTTTGATCCATGACCAAGAAATCACTTTCCGTGGAGTGAGAGGAACTAATATTACAGCCATTAGAGTAAGCCAAGTCGGATCAAATAGTCCCACGGCAACTCGTATTGCTGGTGGCCTTGGATCCGAGTTTGTCACAATACGGATAAGGTCTGACAGAGGACGGGCATTCTCCTACACAATCTTAGTTTACGCAGAAATTAATTGTTCAAATAATTAAAATTGCAATTTAAATGCAAAATGAGATTGTTTTCTTGTGTATTTATCTATTAGACTACTTTCAAGACGTGTCAGGACTCGTAATTAGTTATAACACATATATATGTAGCTTGATAATGAAAATAAAAATTGACGGCATAGCTGACGCGTCAGATAGTTCGGTACGCGCAAGGAACTTTCAACTATTTGTGTGATCCATAAATTGTTATTCTAGTAGGTCTGACTGTGTGTGTTCTAGTGTAAGAAAACCTTTAAAAAATCAGCCTATTAAATCACTTTGAGTACATGAATATGACTCATAATAGTTGTGATACATTGGTGATTGTTTATAATTAACTGTAACATCATAAGTTTAGCGCACTCTGTTTGAAAGGACATTTAAAAAAATATTGACATTAATTTTTCTCGTCACCTTGCTTTTTAAACAGCTTTTACATTTCTTAATACCATTAGGAGAGAAGTTACTATGGCGGTCTTCAAAACAGTGAATAATCAGGTTTAGCCGCTAGTTTCAAAGAAACGCTCCTAATAATACCGAAAAGCGACGTGAATTCAAAACGCGTATTGCTTTAAAATAAATTCTAGGCTATTTTAAAAGAGTAAAATATTAAATTAATGTAATTGTTAAATAAAAGTATACATATATTACTACATACTCAGATCGACTTATATAATTCTTGTTTATCTTTTATCTTTCGGGATAATGCGTACATTCGTACCCTTACTTTTGTCCTACTAATATAATAAATGTTAAAGTTTCTTGAGAATGTATAGTATGTATACATCTATGATGTGACTTGACCGATTTGGTTGAAGTAGGCCTGCGCTCTTTGCCCACCGTACACCTCGTGGGACCACCTAAGTGTGCAGTAGTAGTAGTAGTGTATTTCCCACGGTACACCCAGGTGAACAAAGGTGAACAGTAGGAAAAGAAAAACTTCCCGCTGTACACATAGGTGGTCTCACGAGGTGTACGGTGGGCAAAGAGCGGACAAGTGATACCCTGCATTAACACATAGGTTGCTTTTTGTCAACATCGCTATGGTTAAGTAAGGTCACACTGGACAATCTGCAACACTAGCCGAGTAACAAGTACATTACTAAAAAAGGAGGTAACTGTGTGTCTTTTAACGTTATGAAAAAAGTATCCCTGGTATTCATAATAAAAATGACGTATCCTGTTCCAACTATTGTTTTTACTCAAAAAAAGGTAAAGCCTTTCAAGAAGAGGTTTTGTAAATTTACCATTATAGTTTTAAACATTTTAGAATAGGTTTTTGATATTACAGTAGAAAAGATTAGGTAATTGCCGTCGATGAAATAGAACTAGTACGTAATGATAATTATAGCTCTGCTTTAATTGACAACTACGTTGCTCGATGTGTCTGTGATAATGTCATTAGTTTAATTAACTACTAAATTATATAAAAGGTTTTGTTAAGAAACTTTGTACAAGAAAAGAAGAGACTTCCTCTGTAAGCAATTTACTTCAGAAATCGTTAGCTCTTGTTTAATTGTCATTAATTTACATTAAAGTATGTACTTTAACTAAATCAATTATTCTTGTTCCACTATCCAACGAGTCTCTTTAATTGCGTAGCACTGTGCTACGGCGTAGCTCACTGTATATTACGACGTGTCAATGGAGCTACTCCATTGACAACAATAAGTATTTTTGTGGATTCTTTTATGGTCATTTAAATAGTTTGTTTTTTCGAATGATACTACGGCATCTAACGAAATCGTTGCTAAGCGAGGCGTTCGTAAGTTTGCCGAGACTGAGGTTACCAGCTCAATCTTTCCCTTTTTTCATCGCCAATTCCAAAATCTTCAAATCCCTAACTCAATTAAGGACGGTAACGCATTTGCAATTTCTCTGAAGTTGCGGTTCATGGATTCAATTACTTCCTATCTGGTCTTTTTTTATGGAATAGAAGGCAAACGAGCAGGCGGATCACCTGATGTTAAGAAATCGGCGCTGCTCGTGGACATCCACAATACCAGAGGAGTCACAGGTGCGTGGCCAGCCTGGTCTGTTGATTTCTTCCCTTCATTAAAACTAATCAACACCATTATTTACCCAAATCGCCTCATAAAAATCAATGAGTCTTCAAAGAAACCGTTAAAGATTAAAATGTGTAGATGTGAGTGGTTGATACAATTATACGATAAAGCTATCGCAGAATTATTGTTCAAAACAATCGTGGCCTTGGATTGTTGATCATACTTTATGCAGTGCTATTAAAAGTAAGTCGATTGTTATCGTTTTTATATTTATAGAAGTATTTTAATCAACACAGTGATAGCAACAAAAGAAAGTATACTATACAATTAATCTTGTGCAATATATATTGCAAATCATTTAGTAGTCGTTATTATGCTACTTATAATTATGGTACATTTGTATTAAATATTATGGTGAAAATAAATGTTTTTATTATTACTACTCTTTCGCTTCGAAGCTTTACAAGCGTGGTCAAAGCTATTAAATTACACACTCCAATTTTTCTGATAATTTCTATGACAGCTGATGTTAAAACGAACGAAAATTTGTCCTTTAATTTTAAAAAATATATCGCATTCATATACCCCGGTGGGTGTGAAGAATAGGATAGAATTGTTTTATAACAATAAGTGATATGTAAGGATCATCTACATTTTTCAATACAGATGCTTTAAAAGAAAACTGGTCCCTTGCCGATGTTGAGCCATTCTGAACGTAGCGAGTTTTCAATTGAACGTTGTGCCTTTCAGTCGTAGAAAATTTGTTTGGAATTGGCCAGTTTGAGATAGCCCTGCCCTTTCCTGGAGAACTGTCTCATTGTTAACCAGTAATAAGAAAGAGTCTGAACCGTGGTGAAATATCGTGAGAGCTTATTAAGGATGTATAGATATTTGATAGAGTACGGATAGCACCGCTGGCTGACAAGCCTGAATGATCTTAAACTCACCTGCTAAATGAGATAACATAACTTTATATAACATAGAAAATAAGACTTGTATCCAAGAGCGAAGTGGCACTAAACGTTGAATATTGCAGACAAGCAAACAAAAAATAAAACTATAAATGTATTTATTTCTATAAAACCAAATTGATTAAAAACACCTAAGTACATAACTTGTCCTTATATAAATATTTTAACAAAATTACGGTGTACATGTCTTTTTTCCGTAGATCTCGATGCAATACTTGTAACCACATCCTTTAGGAGAACTAAGTCTGATGCACACGTGACTTTGCCCGACCCCTCCCGACACCACCGATGCGTTAGCCTTCCCTGAAACCAATCTTCCACGAACCGCAGTTATTTTAGTGGAAGGCAGGCCGCGAAAATATATATCTTCATCTGCATGTATATGACCGTGACTTTTGCAATGTTGGTATCTATAAAAATTAAATAACATAATACAACGAAAGCCAAAATTGCCAAACATGACAAAGTCGTGACGGTAGAGCAGAAAAATTAATACGGAAAAACGTCCTCATGTTGAAAATTGAGCACCTTAATCTCCAGGCCATCACGACTTTTGGGCCACGATGGGGAACACCTAGCCACAAGCAACCTTTGCACTCGGGCCTTAAAAACACGTACATATGAGTATAAAAGTTATAACCCTTCCAGGAACACAGACACCGGCAAATAACTCCACTCCTTAGTGGCTCCGATACCAAAAAATGCAGCTTCTTGCGAGTGGACGATATATCCACAATTGTCTGGTGGTACGATGGTGGAAAGGACTATGGGTATCAATTCGTAAAATGTATCCGATAAAAACCGAAAGGTTTGTGTAGTGGCTCAATGTGTTCTACTGGGTCTAGCTGATCTTTCCTATAATTATCTTATTTTTCGAACGTCATACCCATAACACAAAACTACTATTTGTAAAGAACCTATAGAGACATAATAGAAGAACAATAGGTTGCGCGAACGCTGGCGTTCGCTTAGGGTTTGATGACTTAACTTACTTGGACAATAGAATATCCTTTGCGCCGATGATCCCAAGGCACAGATTACGACTAACTCCTTTTTTACCTGCCTTCCTAAATAATTCACCGAATTCATCATTATCGGTCGTCATTTCCGTTGGTGATAACCTAAGCACCATTTCATCATATTGTGGTGTCTCGTCAAGATTCGATAGGGTGTTTTCAGCCTGATCATCGTCATCAGTCTCATCATCATCATCATCATCATCGTCAAAGGTGAATGCTGATACTGCTGTTGTGAGTAACACGAGGAGAAGTAGACCTTTCATCTGTAATAGTTTAGGAGAAATATAAATAATGTAATATTTTTTCATCATCAGACTGTGAGTGACCACTGCTGAGCAAAGGCCTCACTTTTCACACGAAAAGGATGTGAATATAAATCACCACGCTTTCTCAACGTGAATTGGCGTTTATAAACTTATATAAGTCTGAATTTCCTCATAATATTTGCCTACACCGTTTGTCTGTGACCTCTAAGTAATCTAAGAAAATACATATGACTCGTAAAGAACCAAATTTGTACGTGCTAGTTTCGAACTTGTACCTGTCAGCGTTAGGAGTACGCCTTAACAACCGGGCCACAACGACACAATTTTTAATTACTATTTTGCCAACTCGTGGCCGGAACACATGTCATTCAATATAAGCGAGAATCAATATATTTTTAGTCTCATATACCGGCAGAGAAATAGTTATACAATACAATGTACTTTTTACTTAATAGGGTTTTATACTCCGTCAATCTGGTTTGGACATCAACATCAAATTTTGCTTTCTAGGCTTCCACCTCTCAAAAGACTTTCAAATAGTTACAACAAGCTGAATATTGTGCAAACGGTGCAGAAAATGAATACACAATTTACCTTTTCAGTTTTACACTACTCTGAAAACAGCATTAGTTTTCCATTCACAATTGATTCCACAGAAAACTGTAGTATAAAATATACGAATTCTTTCCAAACAGAACAGATATTTTGTAAAGTAATTGTGTTATATAATAATAATTGACCCACATGTCTAGTTATGACATTGACAGTTAAAATATATCAAAACTTTCCACAAAAAATAGGTAAAACCTCTTTAGAACTAAATTTTTATCTATATATAAATAAAGTATTGCACTTGGACTGTTTTTTATAAATGTTTATCGCTTGCTATGACCATAATAATAAAGCCAAATATCATAATTTTATCCTAAAAATCAGATAAGGAAATTGACTTCTCATTTTTTGTTTTTTTCTAAATTCTGTGCGTTTTAAGATTTCACATAATTTTAACTTGCGTTGAAATTTGTAAAAAGTAAATAAGAGGATAGTTTAAAAAGTGTTTATTAAACTTATCTAAAAATTATCGATAAATATTAGTAACGAAACACCTGCAGCAGTTTAACGTCCGTAGATCTGGATTCTATAGTTGTATCCGCGGCCTCTAGCTGACTGAAGCCTGATTGTCACAAAGTTGCGGTTCAGACCTCCAGAAGCTATGGACGGGGTGGCGTTTTGAGAGGCTCCCACTCGCGTCACTCGGATTGCGGATATGCGGATACTGGCAGCGAAATTAAAAGTAATGTTCTGGACGATGATTGTATTTGCGATAGCGCCTCTGATGTGTTGACTTCTGCAAAATGAGAAAAATATTTCGTAAAGATAGAGGGGCTGAGCTCATTCAAATAAATAGCTGCTGGATGGTATACTTAGGTCACTCCCTATAAAAGAAAGTGTGAAAAACATCGGGAAGATTTTATTTAAGGAGAAGATCGTCGTGGTGAGCTGTGAGAGACTTCATTTTTGAAGTGTCATGAATAACGTCCTGTTCAGTTTTACTTACGTGACAAGCAGCCTGCTGTTGCCAATAGTCCCCACGCTAAGGTTACGACGAGATTCGATCTCAACACTTCGGCTACCAGCCTCAATTTCAGCCACTTCAGCTTCGTCGATATACAGAACTTCTTCATACTCGACGACCGCTTCAGGGGCTTCAGCAATGTCCTGGCTGACGATGGCGGCTGAGGCTGCCACTGCCAATAGTACTACGAGGAGCAGGCTCTTCATCTGAAACATATAAATGTATGATAATGTGAGTGAACCGCTATCGCCTATAATACACTTCTGTAGTCTGCTGTGTTGGTTGATCCTCGCCTCTTGTAGTATTAATCACTTACGATGGTAAGAGTCTAGAAGAGTCCATAATAATGTTTTTGGTACACTGAGAACTTGCATGGCTGACCAAGAATATATCTTCTATATCTCTATCTATCTTATATATCACCCTAAGCTGGTTATGAAGAGCAAGTCATCATAGCTCTGTAATATACAGGCACAGCTGAATCCGATTGACAGAATAAGAAGAAAAATACAAGACAATAATTTATTCAGACATTCTCGATACGCAGTAGCGTATAAGCCATATGAGTTATAATTCAAAAGTCACTCACCTTTATTCTTATTTTTCAAGAGTTTAAAAAAAAATTGATCCGTAGATCCTTTCAGAATAGTGAGTTCGTTTTGATTGTAACAGTCCACTGAATTAAGCGCTATTTATACCCGCCATTTCAGCGATAATGTTGAATGAACTTTGATTACTTGATATATGTCAATGCTATCTGTAATATGCGATTACATCAGGTGTATTCATATTTTAAATAATAATTATTATTGATAACAATTGACACGCTTTTAAAAATATATAATCAAATATTATCTCGGAAATGCTTACTATAAATAATGCTTCACTCTTCAGGTTATTACAGTCACAACAAACTTACTATCCTGAAAGGATCTCACTTTTCTCTTAAATAAGAAAAATAAGAAAAATATTCTAAAGGTGAGTGAGTTTTAAGGATATATTATCTGTCTTGTATATACACCAATCAAGGTTCAGTTATGTTGATATTTAACACAGAACAAAGGTGACTTACAAGCTGATGGTGATCCCTCAATTTTAGTTAGGCATGAAAATATCGTGTGCATCTTCTAATGTTATCGGTTTTACACTAATAGATTAATGTGTTTTAGATGAAGGGTTTACTCCTCGTCGTACTTTTGGCAGCGGCAGCCTCAGCCGCCATCGTCAGCCAAGACATTGCTGAAGCTCCCGAGGCGATCGTCACGTATGAGAACATACTGTATAGCGACGACGCTGAAGTGGCTGAAATAGAAGCTGGTAGCAGAAGCGTTGAGATTGAGACTCGTCGCAATCTCAGCGTGGGGACCATTGGCAATAGCAGACTGCTTGTTTCGTAAGTCGCACAGGACTTTCCTCATGACCCACCAAGCATGGGGGTCCATACAACTCACTACGATAAGACATTATGAGCCACCTCCCTGAACTAGAGACTACCCTATACCATCTAGCAAATATTCATTTTATCATTCTCAAATATTCACGAACTTTTTTCCACTTTGCAGTAGTCAACACATTAGAGGGGCTATCGCGAACACAATCATCGTCCAGAACATTACTTTCAACTTTGCTGCCAGTATCAGAATATCCGCGATCCGAGTGACGCGAGTAGGAGCCTCACAGAACGCGACCCCATCTATAGTTTCTGGAGGGCTTAACCGAAACTTTGTGACAATCAGACTGCAGTCAGCCAGAGGCCGCGGCTACAACTACAGGATTCAGATCTACGGACGTTAAACTACTGCAAGTTAAGACTCTTACGCGTGTGAGAATGTACTGAAAACAATTATTTTTAAGATTGATTTGTAACTTGAAATGTTTACAATAAATAGTTATTACTTTACACAGTTGTTTTTAAGTTTACATTATAACCTGCATTGTCGCTAGTAAGTGACACAGCTTTTTCTAACTGTTATAAATTTTCTTTTGAGAATAACTGAAGGAGGCTAAGTGTTTCTTTATCTTCATAATTATTTAATTGTTTAATAATGATCAGTATTATTACATAGATATTCAACAAGCAAATTAGGCACTCTAGTCAAAAGCATAACAGAACTCCATTCACCACGTTCGAAAAATACGAAATTATAAAAAAATACTTACAACAAAACAATAACTTTCTTTATTTTAAATCTTTCGGTTACAATTGAATAAAAATATTAATGATACATAAAAAGTTAAGCAATAGTGCCTTGACAAATTTGAGACAGAGTCCAAAATTATTGCAGCAGTTCACATCCTATAAGCAGTACGCTTGTCTAATATTTATTTTTAATTATGTTGACAGACATTGACTGATTTTATTAGACCTTTAGAGGTTTATTGAGTGTTGAGGGATTTTGTCACGTTTACTAAAGTGTTGAAGGGCATCTCGAAAACCGCCCCTTGTATTTAAATTGAATACATTTTCGTAACATATTTTTTTTCAGTTCGAAATAGCCCCCTCCACTACTCATGTCCCTACTATATTGTGTTTCTGTCAGATTTTGTATATGTAATACTTAAAAACATATTTTGTAGTATAATATACAAAATTGGATATACGAGTCTTACAACTACTACATATTTTACTACGGCGTAGTACTGCTGCTACGGCGTAATCAGTAGCTCTGACAGACTGTTGATGTTTTAAGTAATTGCATAGGGTCTAGCATAAAGGATGATGACTTCTTTTTCTTAAGTTGAACTAAAACATTAGTAACTTGAATTCGTTGTATCTAAGTATTGTTTCCTTATAGAACAAAAGATTTTTTATTTGTATAGACTTCGGTGGCTGGTTTGTGATAGCTAACTTACTACTAATAAGTACTAACAAATACAAGTAAAACATTTCCTTCTGTTTTACTTTGTTGCACTGACCATGTTCATCTTGTAACACCTAGATCAATGGCATTATATGTATACGTTTTTTTAGCAAATAGTTAAATACATGAAATACTTAAACATTTGTTTCCACTTGAGCTAGACAATTTTTATCATCATCATATAAGCACCGAGCAAAGGCCTCTTCTTACATAAAGAAGGTTTGAGCATTCATTGCCACTGTTACGCACACCATCTCAAACACATAATGAAAAATTAAAAGTCCACAGATTTCCTGACGATGTTTTCCTTCGATAACTCAGAAAAAGTACGAGAGCCTATAAGGGTATGATTTCAGAAATCAGCAGGTATAGGTATAGCAATATGAATTAATTTCTTTCTAATATATTTTAAATACCACTGGCATATATGGTCATTATATCTTTTTCTAGCTACTCTCGCGCGGTTTCACCCGCTGCTCATCCCATATAGCCTATAGCACTCAGGAACATTGTAGCTATCTATCAGTGAAGGAATTTTGGCAATCCGACCAGCGGTTCCAAAGATTAGGTACCCCCTACATACAATTTTACAGTGATGCTTTCATAAAAAATATTATAAAAGCTACTACTAATCACTGGATAAGTTAGAACACTTACAAATTTTCAAAATAGTAAATAACTTTTCAAAAACTGGTCAAAATAGTAGTGCTGTGATACATCTCTATCATGAAAAAAGTGTCACAGACCTATTTGTTGTTAATCGGAGATCGACATCTCAATAGGATAATAAATATAATACTTATCTACTTAAATATATTACTTATAATAACTATTGAGGTGCTGTATAATCTCGAAATACAAAAACAGTTGTTTGAAGACGTAAGCATTTATTGTACACATTTAAAATTACATATCAATCTTAAAACTAAACCCTTTCAGTATTTTCTTACACGCTTAAGAGAAAATTTGCTGTATCTTAACGTCCGTAGATCTGAATTCTGTAGTTGTAGCCGCGGCCTCTGGCTGACTGCAGTCTGATTGTCACAAAGTTGCGGTTAAGCCCTCCAGAAGCTATGGACGGGGTCGCGTTCTGTGAGGCTCCCACTCGCATCACTCGGATCGCGGATATCCTGATACTGGCAGCGAAGTTAAAAGTAATGTTCTGGACGATGATTGTGTTTGCGATAGCGCCTCTGATGTGTTGACTACTGCAAAGTGGTAAAAAATTGCGTGAACATTTGAGAACGATAAAATGAATATTTGCTAGATGGTATAGGGTAGTCTCTATTCAGGGAGATGACTCTTAATGTCTTATCGTAGTGAAATGTAAGGACTTCCACGCTTGGAGGGTCATGAGAAAAATCATGGGTTGTGCTACTTACGTGACAAGCAGTCTGCTGTTGCCAATGGTCCCTACGCTGAGGTTGCGACGAGTTTCGATATCAACGCTTCTGCTACCAGCCTCTACTTCAGAAACTTCAGCTTCGTCGCTATACAGGATGCTCTCATACTCGACGACCGCCTCGGGAGCTTCAGCAATATCCTGACTGACGATGGCGGCTGAGGCTGCCGCTGCCAACAGTACTACGAGGAGCAGGCTCTTCATCTGAAACACAACAACATATAACAAAATAAAAATGGCAAGATGGACTGAATAATCCCCTGTAACTTGGTCACAGAGATACTATCGTTCTGATTCCTTTTAAAATATCGATATAAGTCAATCTAGTTGACCCAATACTTAAAAAAAAATGTAAAATTGTAGGCTGTAAAGTTTAAAAAATTAATAAATTTAATACAATATTTTAATTTACTCAAAAGTCACTCACCTTTAATATATTATTTTGTATTGTTTTCTCAAGAAAGAAGGTGGATCCTTTCAGGATAAGGAGTTTGTTGTGACTGTAACAATCTGTTAAATGAAGCGCTATTTATAGCAGGTATTTTAGAGATAACATTAAATTAATTTTGATTATTTAAAATCGTGTCAATTGCTATCTTAAATATTCGATAGCATCGAAAGCACGGTTGTGTTGAACAAAATTTTATTTAATAAGCTTTATCTGGATGATGCTTAGAAAATCCCAAAGGGGTTAACTGTTCGCTTGAGTACGAGTAGGTATTTGCATTAAATAAAACATCATCTCATGACATGGCTTATATTTATATTTCGTAAAACCATTTTGTTTTGTATAATTATATTTAATATCATGCACGGTCAGGTTTGTATGGGAAATATAATTTTCATTTTTAGTATTTAACAAGCAATATTTTCTCACTACGAATATTTTGATTAAAGTAAACATGGCTGGGTTTCTGCCGTTTAAACGATATTTAAGAACAGAAATAAATAAAAAATTATTTATAAGCCTGTAAATGTCTCAATTCTGGCCAAAGGCTCTTGGAACAAGCAATGATCACCATACTGCTATAAGGTTGATTGCCAAATTAAAAATATAATAAGTTCAAGTTTTTAACTATGATATTGAATTATAGCAATTGTACAACAGACAATTAATTAAAACGGGTTTGACACAAAAATGTCATGCCTATTCAGTGTAAACAAAAAGTCCCTATATTTTATAATCAATAAAAAAATTGATATCAATAAAAAAAACATATTCCGAAAAACAACGGAGTAAGGTGTTGTATTGTAATCCCTCTTAGTGATTTAAACTTATTTAACCTTCTTTGTTGGCTAAGATGACAATTTTTATTCCAAAAAATAAAATTTCCTTTTTCTTTTCCTTAAATTTGAGAATGACAGTTTTTGCTCCTTCAGAATACCTAGATATTCAGCAAAAGATGGATTTTTACATGCAAAATTATACAGCCTATTCAAACGGGCATGCCAGCCTTCTACGTCGTTTGCCATTTCTATCTATTCACCTAAATAAAATCTTCATAAATAAAGAGTTTAAGTGTGGGAGAGCCAAGCTTTGGCACGAATGGGTCGGCTCGACCGGAGTGATACTACGGCCTCACAGAATACCGGCGTGAAATAACAGAGGTCCAATCCCTTTCATTCGCTTCAATCCGCAACCCCTATTCAAAAAAGTCCGGCAACGCACTCGTAACTCCTTTGTGTTTGGCTTATACTATAAAAAAGGGTTACTCGATTTAATTTTATTACCTATAAGTCCTAATTTTGTCACAACTATAATGTAATTGTAGCCCGACATATATGATACAAGCAAGTGAGCTCACCCTATAAAACTCGCTTTATATATTTATTTAAATCAACGAAAAAAAAAAAATTGAAAATTATCGGCATATAATTGCTACATAGGTTGGCCACGCCCTGTTTTTTCTTTCATGACCTATAATTATTATTGCTCTAACAAACAACGCTGTGTGTCGACGTGTGGGTGAGGTTACTAGGTCCTGAATCTTTCCCCTCTCCCATTTCCTTCCGAATTCTTAAATATCCAAAGGCCGGCAACGCTTTCTCAACTCCTTTGGTATCGCGGGTATTCATTGGTGGCGCCAATTGCTATCCATCGGGTAGTCCGACTGCTCGTTTCGCGAGATATCCCATAAAAAATTAGCAGACTTGCGTCTAACTTTTGTCCATATTCAAGCATGATGCATTCACCTACACCTACTATCATTCTAGCACCAGACTCTCTAAAGCTATGCTGCCTCTAGTGTTGGAAGTGCCGACCTTTTAATAACAATTCCCCATCTTTCATGTGCTGTCGTAAATTTAATGAATTTTGATGTGTTGATATTAAATTTGTTTTCACTTTTTATATATTTTATGAAATGTCACAAAGTTATAACTTCCTTGTATAAGCTTTTTTTCAATAATAAAAATTATGTAGGGTTCCTCAGGGTATCATATTAGAACCCGTTGCGGTTTTGTTATGTGTTGGTAATTTATTTTCCCTAACAGTAACATGTCGGTAATTTTACTGATACACTTCTCGTAGATCCTGTACACTTACGAGTCCACTTACCAGCATTTCATTATTTATTAGAAATATAGATTTGTGACGCACTATAAAAATTATATCTTGTCATTTCTCTACATTAGGATATGTTTGGTGCCAGCTATATATCAAACTTTATAGATTCACATCCGCTTTATTTCTTTTACGCTCCAAATTGAAAAAATCATTTATGAATTTCAAAATTATATTTTATTAAACAATTACAATGTTTACACACATTAACCTAAAAATAATCTCTACGAGTATCTTTCCAATGAAAACATATAGCGAAGGTAGCACGTGCAGTAGTTTAGCGTCCGTAGATCTGGATCCTATAGTTGTAGCCGCGGCCTCTAGCTGACTGCAGTCTGATTGTCACAAAGTTGCGGTTCAGGCCTCCATAAACAATGGACGGGGTGGTGTTCTGTGAGGCTCCCATTCGCGTTACTCGGATCGCGGCTATGCGGATACTGGCGGGGAAGTTAAAAACAATGTTCTGGACGATGACTGTATTTGGGACTGCGCCTCTAGCCTGATATCTACTGTAAAATGGAAACCATTAAAATTAATAGGAGAAATTATCACAGAAAGGTAGAAATAACATTTAAGTATGTTGACGTATGTATCGGTTCTTTTAGTGTACAAACTGTTACAGTTCGCGCTGCCCTGGTAACAAGTTGAAATGCTTCCCAATTTGATATAACATAAGCTACTTACGTAGTAAGTAGTCTGCTGTTGCCGATGGTTCCCACGCTGAGGTTACGACGGGTTTCAATTTCAACGCCTCCGCTAAGTGCCTCTACTGCAGCCACTTCAGCTTCGTCGATATATAGAATTTCCTCATACTCAACGATCGCATCAGGAGCTTCAGCAATGTCCTGGCTGACGATGGCGGCTGAGGCTGCCGCTGCCAACATTACTACGAGGAGCAGGCTCTTCATCTGGAAACATCGCATTTTTATTGTTTACCAAAAACGTATTTCCCATACCCTCAACCTATACCTTTCATCTTTACATGTGAACAAATTTTATTATTGCCCAATTTCGGGAAAATAATATTGACATATAGTTAGAATTATTTTAAAATCCCCACCTTTTTATATTTCTTGCGTAGCGTTTCTCAAAAAAAGAAGATATATCCTTTCAGGATAGTGAGTTTGTTGTGATTGTAAGTCTGATTGATGAAGCACTATTTATAATGACTAATTAATTTGCATTACTGATAATATTTATTTATTTAAAATCATGTCAATTATTGTTATCTTTATTAAGCGATTACATCAGGTGTTAGTTGTATCATTTGTAATGATAAAATAATTAATAATGTCATTGGGTCATACATATCTGTTTTATCCTTCACCTGATTGACAGGAAAAAAGTCCTGAGGCATTAAGCCCGATTGTGCATATCGTCGCTGTATTTATAATCAACCTTACTAATCACTTTATCTCCCACGTGGAGTGCGTTCATGTTCCTCACTTTGCTTTGGCACCGGCGGATCGACTTCGACGGAAGTGATACTACGGCGTCCAAAAACGTGAAACGGTTTTTGGGGACCAATGGTAGTCGTCACCTTATGAGAGAAACCCTTTTTAGAAGACTTCTTACAAATTATGTAATAAAGTCAAAAAATCTGGATTAAACGCATTCGTAAGGAAATAACTTAAGAGGTGCCCAGGAACACCCGGATGAAACGAAACTCCTTTCGATTACGTAGTGGAGGAATAGTTATAGAAATGGTATGTGATGAATGGGTGATAAAATGTTACACTGCCTGCTATATGTACACATATATTTAATATCGAACTTGATAGTATTCATTTGTTCTATTTGTGCTGCAGTGTGATTCTGTAAGACTTCATTCTAAACTTCGAATCTGAATCCGCTGTGAGTAGTAGTACACTAGCGCTACACTTGCGAGTTGAACTAAATTGACAGCATAATTTTGATAGATAAAGTATGAAATGACGTTAAAAGTGGCATTGTAAAATTAAATTTCCCCGTCACTTCGACGCTCACTTCGCACTCGAACACGATTCAAAATCAAACAAATTTTATAGAATCGACGTGCTGATCTTAAGTTTTGTGTTTTTATATTAAAACATTAACTTTACGTCGTAAAAGCTACGAATGTTCAAAAAGAACTAAGTTCTTCGTGAGAATAATTATATAAGGGTGTAGTATCATCTGATGTTGCGGGTGTCCATGGGCGGCGCTTATTAAATACCATCGGTGGTAAGTCTGCTCGTTCGCTTCCTGTTACATTAAAACATACGCTATATCTCTTCGGGGACCACCAAGTACAATTAACACAATATTTTCCGCGCATAAATAAATCTGGACCTTTTCAACCAATCATGGACATTACGACGAAGCCATTTAAATTAGAGGAGATCATTAATGCAGTTTTTCTAACAACTATTTAATGTTGAAAAGTCATTCATTAATGAGCTGACTTGACTGGAGGCCCAACTTTCCCTACATCCCCATATCCTCATATCCCCCAATCGCCTAATTTTTCTCAACCTTAAAATGCAGACGATGCCCTTTCAACTTATGTGGTCCAAAAATGTATACATTTTTAATATTTTTTTAAGGCTGTTGCTGTCATCAATTCACTTGTCTTGGATTGTAGACTTACTAACTAATAACCACCCTGTTCCTACCTCAGCTGAGGGTGGGTGCGGTGAATTGTTGCATTTGCGAGCGCAGCCCTAGCTGCCTCACCGCGACCCAGAGCAGGACCTCGGCCCAGACCAGGGGGGTTTTTGCCTTGGAGGGAGAAGTCATTTGATGATTTTCCCCTCACAAAAAAAAAATCCCTAGCTGAACATCAGCCTGGGTGCGGGGGCAATCGCACCAGATACCGAAATCGACCCAGAAACAGCAGAAGGAACGTTGGTGTTTAGTCAGGTAGAGTCCGACACTCCTTCTCGCCTCACCCTGGGCGCGAAAAGTCATCTGATAATGTTCCTCTCACAAAAAAAACCTAGCTGAATATCGGCCCTACTATACATATATAGGTATAGCCGGGCGCGAGTCAGTGAGTCAGCAAATGGCGGTCTACGCCGTAGAATTAGTACAACGGCGTAGCAAGATATATGTATACACATAATATATGCTCCTTAAGTTAAGAAATGATCAACAATGAGAAACAAAGGGGAATTTTTTTGGTCATCCATTTGATTTTATAAATATTGTTTTTTACTTTTATCTTCAAGGAATTATTAATGTCAATGTCATACTTTAATTTCAATGTTCAGTGATATTGAAACTTTCAATTGGCGCGGCGCGGCATTAAATGATAAAGATACTAAACTTGCTCATCACGCTACCTGATCATAAGGCCATCTACGATAATTGTCAATTTGACTCATAATCTATGAATTAATAAAATATATGACATCAACCCTGTTATTCCCCTAAAAGCTTTACTATTAAAGAAAGATTTTAAGGGACAGACAGGGGGGGGGGGTAATGGGACAAAAACGCCGCTATGAGCTGCAGTCCGGCTCGAAGCAGGAATGAATTTGGAAAAGAGTGACTTTTAGTCAATAATAGTCTGACAATCTCCTTTAAGCGAGAGGAGATTGTCAACTGCACTCGACTGCACGGTTGGCGCGGTGGCTAGGCAACTGGCTGCCACGAAATGTGTCGCGGGTTCGATTCCCGCATGGAACAATTCTTTGCGTGATCCATTGATTGTTGTTCCGGGTCCGGGTGTGATATACATGTAAATTGTATGTTTGTAAATACACCCACGACACAAGCGAGCAAACTTCAAGACTCGGTTGCTGTTGGACTACTTTTTTTTAAACCAAGTATTATACAAGTGCTTTTTTAATAGATAAACAGATTGAAGAGAAAGAATTATATGTATAACCTCCATTTAATTGTGGAGAAATTCAATTTCAGCTTTGCACCTGTGCGAAGCCGCAGCGGGTCATTACTAATAAAGTGGACAGAAAACAAGAAAATAATACAGTAAAATATTTTCATAACGTATTTATTACTTGAGCCACAATTTGTACAGTTTATTTCTAATCTTATTTCTATTAAACATTATTAAAATCAACCTTCGTTAAAGTACAATAATTTCTCTTATAGATCTTCATTCTTTATCTGATTGCAGTCTCCAGTTCATACTAAGTTAGATGACAACTTTCCATCTAAATTAGATTCCTCGACATCATCAACGTGTACTTCAATCGGGTCAATTAGCATTGAGTCAAACAATAAAGTACCAAACTCTTCATTGTCATTCTCACCAGGATCTTCATCGAATTCCGTCAAAATCTTTACTGGTTCTGCCGGGTCCAAGCCTAACATTTTTTGTATTTCCTCTAATTCCACAAATTCTATATCGTCTATTTCTACTGCAGCTGGTACATCATTGTTGAGGTCTGATGCTGATGCTGCTGCAGCCAGTAGTACAAGGAGGAGTAGTCTTTTCATCTGTAACAGATTATAATAGGTTTAGAAATGGTCAACATATTTTGTTATCGTTTGAAACTCGGCTTTGATTTATTTAGTTACCAAGCCAGACCAGGTCTCAATGGGGATTTTGATAATTCTGAAATGGTGTTCGATGTATAGTGATAGGCTCTTCTCTTATTTTAAGAAGGTCATAACATAACAGAAGGAAAGGAGTTCTAAATTATAATTTCCTTTTTCAGTGATTTTATAAAAATTTTTTTTTGTGCATAGAAATTAAAACAGAAGAAAGGTTTTAATAAGAAGCGCACTGAAAAAAAAAAGGTGATCGAAAAAACAAAAAAAAACTTACAATTTCCTTTGTATTGTTGCTATCTTCTTTGATTACCGTATGTTTATAAGTTATATATTTCAAATTACCGTCTTTTTTATAGTGGTTTTATAAATCGGATACAAAAGATAAGATAATACTCGACCCAATATTGTAACAATTGACTTATCATAAATGTCATTTTTTATTTTGATGTCATACGATGGCAATCTAGCTGGCGGATTACCCGATGGCAAGCAATCGGCACCACCCTGAACGTGCGTAACCCCAGACAATTTGCAACTACGTTGCCGGCCTTTTGGGGATAAGGGGTTTGGGATTTTTGAGATTGACGAGAGGGCAAGGATAGCGCCTGTGATAATTTTTTCACGCTGGTTTTCTGTGAGGACATGCCTAAATGTCTATAATTATGCTTCATGTATAATCACATAATTGAATAGTGCTGAGTTCATGGTAATAAGGTTTTTTAATCGGGGAATATCATCAAATGTCTTCTACCGTCCAGAAGATGGCGAAAACGGAACAAAAAGGAAAATCGTGTTAATTATAAAATTCACATTACCTAGTAAAAACGAAACAACATTTTAATTAGATACTCAGTCGATACTTAATACAATTTCATTATAATTTATTATTTTCAATTATATTATCGCCAAAATATTATGACAACAGACAAATGGCCAATCACCACTGAAAACAGGTGTAGATAAAAATGTAAAAATAAAACTCATTGGCACTACCTATCAAAAGATATTTTATCTACTAAAGGCATTATAAAGATTATCTTTTTAAACTTTAAATTTTAGGTTTCCAATTAAAGCCAAGAGACCTCCACAGACGAAGAACTACAGGGTGGTTGAGCATGACGCTCAATATACCGCGACCTCGACATTGGTCAGGAAAAGGAACAGGGGATTTTTAGTCAGTGACAGTCTGACATTCCCTCTTCACCCTGGGCGAGAGAAGTCATTTGACGATAATCCTGAAATAAACATCGTAGCCACAGGAACGTTCGGTTGGCGTACGAGAGGCCGAAGCAAGCTCGCAGAGGCTAGTTGCACAATTTTAATGAAAATGTACATCAGCCAGTAGTTATCCCTGTGTGCACTATGGAAGTGCATCCAAGGACGATTCTCGGACTATGGAGAACTATTGTGCTTATATGAAAGAATACAGGGATGGAATATAGAAATAGTGGCTATGTGCTGGAAAACATAGTAGCTACAGATTTACTATGGTACCAGCCCTGGACAAATATTATACTTATTTATATGACTGACGTATTAACCTTACTATTTATTTAGTTCGTTGTAGCATGTAATTTTTAGTTCAGTTAATTAGTAGTAGCATGTAATTACTTACATGTTTATGTACGCAAAATATAATACCTTTTTACCTTTTTTTTGCTATCGGCCTAGTATGTCTAAGTTCAGTTGAACAAAAACTAATTTCTAAAGTTCTTGGCCATATGCAAATGTCAATAAAAACAAAAAAAATATAAACAAGACCGATATAAAACAAATCGATCAAAAATCAATCTTCTGATTAATTTTAATCGCACGTTTGATAATATCAGTATTACGTATTCGTGTACTGATAGTGATAATGGCTAATTAATAATATAACAATTGCGTCTCATTTTAGCGATGAAAATAACTTATAATTGGTGAGGAAAAGTATGTTGTATTATTTTGAAAACATATTTTTATATGGTGAATGTACATATGTTTATGTCATATACTTTCACAGGCTTCTTTTAGAGGGAAAATCATCCAATGACTTGGCTTGCCGTGGGTGGGGAGAGAAGGATGTACCAGGCTTTATGTGACTAAAAATCACCTCGTTCTTTCTTTTGCATCAGGCTGAGGGTGCGGTATGACCTCGGCTGAACAACAGGCCCTGTTGGGTCCCGTCTGTGATAGTCACTTGAAGACAAACGCAATCACGCTCGGGTCTTGTTCTGGTCGGGCGGCGAACTATCCTTGCTCGTCCTCGTTAGACTAGACACATGATCTCCGGTCCCCGTCGCCGGAGTGTCTTCTACTACGACGGCTGCGGCGTAAGGAGGATAGTTCCCTAACGCGCTCAATCCGATTGATAGTGCACTGAGACATATTTTTGGAACAACTAGCCCTATTTGTAATGCAAAAAAAAACTTAAAAAAAATGTTTTACATCGCGGCGTAACAGGTTTCCGCCAACTATTCTGTGAAAAATGTGGCATCGTTATATTGCCACAAGCAGACCATAGCACAAAAGTTATTCAGCCAGTATTCATTTTAACAAAGAGCAAAATTCATATTTCAAAATGTTACATTCGAAATTCAGAATTTAATTCCAAATCCGGACAGACCGGGGCGACGCGAGCTGGCGTTCTAAGTTTAAAATTGCTTCCCATTCAAGTCCCCGCTGCTGAACAATGGCCGCCGCTGCAAACGGAACTTACGCAAGCAAAACCTACATTTAAATTCAAATTCAGAATTTAGAGCTAGAGTTCTATTGTGACACTTTTTGTGCTATTTTGGGGGTATTGTAGTACTAATTTATACCACAACTTATTTAAAATTTAGTTTCGTGAAGAAATTGATCAGACAATTTGCCAGATATCATAGAATAAGTTTATTCCTATCATTAACAAAATTCTACTATACTTAGTTCCTTTGAAATTGATCAGAAATGATGTCTACCAATATCTTTAAGTGAACAGATAACTTGAAACACTAGGTAAACAATTTATTTGACTTCTTGGTTTTTAATTTTTCGCCAAACAAGGTTCCAATTTAAAATTATTTCGAATTCTAATTCAATTTAGAAAAACCCTTACTTTGTTCGTTGCAAAATACCGTCTTTCTTTTTTATATGTTGATCGTCAATCTCTCCAAATAGCTTTTACATTTATCTGCAATTTACTTAAAACCTTTTTTTCTCTTCTTTCACAGGCGGTGTCGGATGAAATGCTGGTGGAACTGAAAGCGTGCTTCATGGAGGCCTACGATGACAATCAAGATGGAAAAATTGATATCCGAGAGGTAAGATTGATTTTAATTAGTAAATTGTTATTTTTCACGTACTACTGGTACTGATGCTAAGTGATTTTTATCTTAATATTCATTAAGATTCGTACTCTTTATTGATTTGATAAGGAACCTTAGACTTTGTTGTATTGCATTACTTTTTTGAGATGAACTAGCAGCTCCATCGAGACTTGGCTAGTTTTTTTGGACCCTGACATAGTAGATGAAAAAAAACTGACACTTTGTCAGGTATACATATAATTAGTCATATGGGTAGAATTATTATATACGAGTAATTAGTAACAACAACGAAATGATGAAATTATACCTACTTGTCGTTATGTTTATTCTCAATTATTAATAATAATAAGTGTGGGAGAGCCATGCTTCGGCACGAATGGGTCGGCTCGACCGGAATGATACCACGGCCTCACAGAAAACCGGCGTGAAATAATCACTGCGTTGTGTTTCGCCGTGTGAGTGAGGTTACCGGAGGCCCAATCCTTCCCCTTCCCCAATCCATCCTCAATCCCTAAATCTCCAAATCCCTAATCCCTTAAAGGTCAGCAACGCACTCGTAACTCCTCCGTTGCGAGTGTCCATGGGCGGCGCTGATTGCTTACCATCAGGTAATCCGTCTGCTCGTTTGCCGACCTATTACATAAAAAAAAAATATATCAAAACAACAATACGTTTGATAAAAAATAACTTATCATAAACAATAATACATCGCATCAAAATGTAAGCTTGAGTAATTTATAACGAGTCTTAACTTATTTAAATTACGTCTTATTTACACTCTATAATTACATACTTTGATTATTTATATGCATATATCTAGATATATTTTTAAATTAATTTTTATCTTATCTTGCTGCAACTTCCACGTTTAGACTATACACATATTAATATTTTATTTAGAGGTGCCTATGTTTAGTAGTGCACGGTATTAGGCTGATGATTTTTTTTACGTATTTATTTTGCTCGTTCTTCTCCATCGGAATCTACACTTTGGAACGAGCAAATAGCTTCACTAAGAGGACTGACCGACAGACTGACACAATTTTTTTTTTTAATTTGTTTGACGTCCAAAAGTTCCTGTAAAGGCTTAATTGGAATAAATGATTTTTGACTTTTGACTTTGACTTTGAATATTTATTTATTAATTAGTTCTTAAATATACATTTAAGGGTAAACCTTGGGTCTTCACAGCTTACAAAATTAATAAATGATTACAACTAAAACATTAATTTGATTTATTACGCCAATCATGAGGAACACGTGAAAAAGTAGAATTAAGTTACAGAAGTGTTACTAGGTACATTTTTGAAGGCAACAGCTATCTAAGTAAGTCGTTGGTTTTATTGTATAAATTGTGGATACACAATGATATACTTATTTAGTTAATGTGGTTGTGTGGTTATGTTTCTTGGGAGTATTATCATGAATTAATTATTTGGACCTGTTTAACGACTAAATTACTGTAACCTTCCCCTACCCCAATCCCTTCCCAGTCCCAAAATCCCCAAAATCCCAATCCTTAAAAGGTCGGCAACGCACTCGTAACTCCTTCTTTGTTGCGGGTGTTCATGGGCGACGCCGATTGCTTACCATCAGGTAATCCGTCTGCTCGTTTGCCGTCTTATCACATAAAAAAAAATCCTTAAATGCATTGCGACTAGTATTAAAGGGATCTAAGTTCATTATATGCCACTAATCTTATCCTATATTATTATGTGATAGGTTAGCTGACAGTCGAAAATACAAATTGGGCTATCTTTTCCTTAGTACTGTATGCGATGTCGCTGGCATGATCTTCTTCCCTCTAATCTCATCCCATATGTGATATTTTGCTTTACAGTCAAAAATACCACTGCATTTTAGCCTGGTAGTCGCTGCCATTAACATATATTTCAACAGAAGTTTCAGAGTTATAACGAAGTTGTCCAAAAATTGAAAATTATTATATCAAATATTTTGTTACAGCTAGCACAACTGCTTCCTATGGAGGAGAATTTCCTCCTCCTCTTCAGATTTGACAATCCTTTGGAGTCCAGTGTGGAGTTTATGAAGGTATACTCATTTTTAATTCCAGATGAACTGCATGCAACGTTTCAAAGCTTAATAATAGAATTTAATAACCAGACACCCGTGTTATATGGTTCTGAAGAATGGTTCGGTTTGATCCTCGACGCATCATTTCAACATCGTCCTGCGCGAAAACATCATTTTCATCCCCATCATAAGTACAGATGGTTGGCAGTCAACAACTGTGCCATATTCCCAAAACTTTCTGCCTCGCACAGCAAAAGTTGGAATGATCTTTCAGCGTTTCTTTCAACCATTAAGAAACGTTCGTATCCCTTCTTAAAAAGCCCGCGCTTTGACTTCTTTGGTGTCGCAGGTGTCCATGTGTGGCGCAGATCACTTACACTTGGAACTTCCGACGGTGGTATTTTCGATCCGATATGACCTCCAAACCATCGAGAAAAGTACGTTCTTAAAAGGCCCGCCTGTCAGGAGTCAGGGGTTTCCGGTGTCCATGGGTGGCGTTTGCCTTCTATTCTATAAAAAATGATTCTTAATCCAAAATCTGTATGAAAAATTAAGAAAAAAAGAAACTAGTAAGTTTTCCTCTCCCCTGATTAATTTCCTTGAGGGATCCGTAAGAGTCATTCTTTCGAGTACCTACATAAAGGTAGGTTCTTCTAGGACTCAAAACAAAATAGTATTATGTACGTGAATATTATTAATATTATACAATTTTATTTTCAGATATGGCGAGAGTACGATACGGATGGCAGCGGATACATTGAAGCCGATGAACTAAAGGTAACTAATATACTGAAATACATACGTAGAAATGTTTGCGAATTTAAAAAATAAGGGTTTTTTATTTCTATTCAAATCCTGCTAAACAACTATCCAACTAACATTATTAATGAAAAAGTTTATCTGTATTTTTCTGAATGTAAATGATCTTTCGCAACAAAAGTACTGAATATATTTTAATAAAGGTTTCTACAGACATAATTATCATCATGATAGCTAATATAGCCTGACACTGTCTCCTAATATACAGGAATACCTCCTCTACTCCGAAAATAGTTTATATTTCGCCTTTTGAGTGAGTAAACCGGTAACAGTAAAAAAAAAATAAAAAAAGAACAATGTTAAATACCGAACACTTTGATAGTACCCAGTACTTAATAATTTAACTTAATGGGTATCATACTAGTAGGATAATTTTATCGAAATAAAATAAAAAAACTACTGTATACTGTTCTATAGTAATGAATTATATTTTTAAATATCATTAAACCCTAAGCAAATCGTGTAAAGCAAACGCTAGCGCGATCTATTTCGACGCCAACGCCATCTAGTTTGGAAACTTTCGGCAAATTACAATGTTTGGTCTTATAAATGGGTTTTCAAAATTTGATCATAAACACATGTATTGGATTAATTACATATGCTTAGAGATAGGTATACAGGTATACTTACTTGAGGTTAAGTGCTTCCCCTAGTACTATCTATTACGCTTTAAAAATGATAATTAGCTGTAGATTGTCATTATAGATAAACAACTAATTCAAAAAACGTTTAAGATTATTTGACACTTTTAACTACGACCTTCATTTTGAAGGACTAAAGTCTTTGATATTTTAATACGCCGTTAAAATTGGGTGACCGGGGAAGTACTGCGTGGTTAGGTACCTAAATAATCTATTCTGGTAAGACTAGCAAAATGTCGGTCTTTATGTCAGCTTTGAGTTGTTATGCTCGCTCAAAAGTGGCGTGGCACGGGCTCAGTTCCCAATATTTTGGTTGAGTTGGGAGATGCTAGTGTACGTGTCATGTTCGTGAACGTCAGTTTAGACTAGTAAGATTTTAAACTTTTTTTAAGATTAAAAAAAAATTAAAACCGTCTCTGGAATTTCACAAATAATTCAAGACCAAAATTTGCAAAATCGGTTAAGTTTAAGTTATAACATTACAACGAAAAGTGGCATTGATTTTTATATATGTATATAGAGAACAATATTTAACCAAATCCTTTTTGTTACAGAATTTTCTCCGGGATCTCTTGAAGGAGGCAAAGAAAATCAATGATGTTTCAGAGGACAAACTGATTGAATATACTGACACTATGGTATGTACAGACAAATCATTTTAATCATTGATCATCATCAGTATCATCATAAGCCTGAGCAAAGGTCTCTTCTCATACGAAGAAGGTTAGAGCATTAATCACCATGCTTATTTAATGCGGGTTGATGATTTCAAACTTAAAATTAGATATTATAACTCCTCCTCTCCTCCGGCTCCTTAACCTCTGGGCCACCACGACATTAATCATTGATACACTGATATATAGGTTTTATAGATGCATGACTTGTAAGTAGTGAGTTCCGATTTTTATTATTTCCTTTTTTAATACATAAAACAAACTGATATATTATTATAATACTCTTTGCGTGATCTGAAAATTGTTGTTCCCCGTCTGCGTTTTTTTTTTTTTTGTGAAGGGAAAATCGTCAAATGCGGTACCTCATTGCGCTTACCCCGCAACCCCGGCTGAACATCAGCCCTATAGGGCCCTGGCTGTCCCTGTCTGCGTGTAGTGTGTATGTGAAATTGTACTGTTACGGTTGTAAACGCGCCCACGGCACAGAAGACAATCCTAGTGCAAGGCAAAGCTTACGTCTTTTTAAATCCTATACGTAACTGTGAATGAAGAAACAAGCAGACTGTCTGTGAACAAAGCAGGTGTAAACCTGGCGTACAATCAAGAAAATAGCAAATAAAAAGATAGATAGACATGCGTGTTAAATACCGTAAAACAGTAAACTATTAATATTCAACGTGAAAGTGTAAAGTGAAATGTAAATGAAAAAGTCAAAGGGTTCATTTCAAACTAAGTGTACTTTACTGTATTGGTGTTAGTTATGATAAATTATTTTAGACATAGCAGCCTTTACAAGCATTGCAATAATGATGTGTAGTGTTGTATGAATAAAAAAATAACGCACCGATATTGGCAAACTATAAATCTGTGTTACCAAAATGATTATGTAGATTAGAAAATATTTGAAATATAACTAACGATTCTCTTTCTATTAAATTAATAAATAAATTGTATTTCTTAAATTAGTGTGAATTAAAACTAACGATGAGGTTAGCGGATCCGAATGGATAAACCCTGAGCATAAAAAAAGAAACATTTTTGTTTTATTTAAAAAAAAAACGTTGCCCTACACCTGGATTTTTCCTGCGTCGTGGGTACACCATACAATTTTAGATACACATGACACCTGAAACAAAAGTTTCTGGATCACACAAAGAGTCGTTTCGTGTGGTATTCGACCCGTGACTGACACGTAGTGTGGCAGCCAGTTGCCCAGTACCACAATAAATAAAGAATAAGATTTTTAGGGCTTTATTTTTGTTTTGATATTTTTGACTTAGTACAAAATTTGACTTCAATTTAAATAATGGAATTACCCGTTTCAGTAGACTCATTCCTTACTGAAAGGAAATTTCAAAATGCATGACAGCATTATGCAACCAGTTGCAACATGTCATTTATTCGATTGTCACATAGAACAATATTCTTTATTATCTTTGAAATTTTTAATTGATGTTTAATCCTTAATTAATACTCATTGATAAGCTACTTAGTGTTGTTTCGATATTGTTATCATTCTCTATGTAAGCCCCCTTGGTAGGTAAAGCCTTGTCTTGATTCTTAGGGAAGAACCTAGGTTTTGCAAATTGGTGTGCTCATTTTGGCTACCTTGAAACTGTAGGCTCTTAAAAGATAACTTCTACCTATTATTAACAGCAAACAGTTTTGTAGTTAACAGCTATAACTTTATACATCAATTTATCACTGGTAAAGCCGAGCATGGAGGTTTTAAAACATAAGATTTAATGATTTACACGGAACATCCTAGCCAGGAGAAGACGAAAGTCCCTGCAGATTCCTACTTAAATGTTTTTTATTAAATAATGGCTAAATTAGATCCATTAGAGAGATCCATTTCAAATCTGTAGGTATATAATTTTTACTTAATTTTATTTATTTATTAATTTATTCTAATAGTGCGATACAAAACCAATTACACTACTCAGTTCTTAGGGATAATATAGGCACAAGAAAAATACACAAAATAAAAAAGAAGTCAACAAGAAAATTAATAGTCGCAAAGTTTCTATCAAAAAGGTCGATACAAATTTTTTTGAATAATTATTTATTTTTCGATATTTTTTCTCGAAAAATAATTCTTTTGAAATAACTGTGTCTTTAATTAAACTGTTTTATGTCCACAGCTACAAGTTTTCGACTCCAACAAGGATGGTAGACTGCAGCTCTCGGAAATGGCCAAGTAAGTACTAAGTTAATAACACTTATCCTACTGAACTCTGGAATACCGTCGGGAAGCAAACACTTCTGCACCACCAAAACAAAGCTTGGTGATTAGGAATGAAAGAAACTTAGGTCTACGTGGTCTAAGTGGTTACCTCACTTTATCACCAGTAAAACAGCATAAAGAAAAAAAAAGATAGAGAGAAAGAGGGACCATTTATTCCGCACCAGACAAGATGCACCAAAATATATCACATCACATCATTAGTGCATACTGCAGAGCAAAGGCCTCTTCTCACACAAAGAAGGTTTGAGCATATATCACCACGCTTGCTCAAGGCAAATTGGTGATTTCAAACTTATTATTAGAAATCATAATTTAATACCGATTTTTTGTAAGGACATGGCCATCATTCTATTCTAGATGGCCCATTCGTACCGAATCAAGAATAAGAAATACAATATTCCGTTTGAGGCCAGATTCCTTTTAAATGTTATTATGTCATCAAAATCATCATCATTGTTTCACTGGTGATGAATGACTCTCAAAAGTCAGTGTGTCAGTGAAACAGTATAATGAAAAAAAAGATGAGAAAGAAGACAGAAAGAGGGACCATTTCTTTCACACCAGACCAGATGCACAAAAATATATCACACCATATCATCAGCCTATCAGGGCCAAAAACAATTTTGATATAAATTTGATAGCACATCAGCCGGTATGCACAATGGAAGTGCACCCAAGGACAATCATCGGCTAATTATTCCAGTATTTAACTGGTAAAAATTATAAAATTAATTTCTATTACATATACCTATAGATAAGCAGGTAATGGCAACTGACTTAACCACTTATACGGTAAATCAAATCTGTCTAATGGCTATTGTTATAATGCCTAATTTGTGGACAGTGAAAGTGTTAAACAGGCTGTGCATCAGCAACACAATATCTATTTAATCGTCCTTGAAATTTAATAATGTTATATTACGAAATAATCGGAAACAGATACAAAAAGTGCTAATCACCTTTAAATACAACCTACTTACCTAATAACATAAAAATCTACTTTTCGCAAATCAATAACATGCCTTATACCTACTGTGAAGGTCAACTTTTGTGTCGGTATCCATTTTAGGGGGAAAAACTATTATAATCAAGAGATAATAAAAAGACAATTAATAAGTAATCAATATAAATCTGTCACGTACAGTTATACATTATATGAAATGTAGATAAGATTATCCATATTGATTGATTATAAAAGTTATCTGTCGTTTAATTGGCTGATAATTAAGACCTGCCGCTGATTGTGATTTTTGTTACCGCGATTTTTTGCCATTAAGTGTGCACTGAATATTTTGGAGAGTGGCGCTCATGGCGCTCACGTGACAGCCGTCAGCTAACCTGTTTATTACTATTGGAGTTACTGCTCGCTAGTAACTTTGTTTTGTTTTTTCTGCACATTTCTTTTCGAAATTATTAAATTGTCACTCACGAATAGTTTCAGTGAGATCATCATAAATGTTTCTTTATTTATTTGTTTGTTTCTTTCTTTCTTTCCTACTTTCTTTCTTTCTTTCTTTCTTTCTTTCTTTCTTTCTTTCTTTCGGTCTTTCCTTCTTTCTATCATAATCGGTCACAATCAGCGACGGGCCTAATGATATGCCGAAAGACATCATTCACAAATATTTTTTTATAAAAGAGGTTTCAGCATAATTTGGTACATGACAACTCAATACTTATTTAATAGGGCTCTTTTTCTTTTTTTTTTGTTAATTAGCTGGAAAACATTTGCACCTCGGTCAAATTGGCTGCAGTATAATAATCAACAATTTTCAATTTCATACTTCTTTGTAATATTCTTCTTTGTTATGTATAATCAGTATGTCTTGCAACTGCAGTACAACAGTACCCTTATATTAATAAGTTTTTTTTTTTATATTTCTTAATATTAAAAGTGAGAATAAGAAAAGTAATAATACCTTTTTTTGAGAGGAGGGCAACATCAATTGACATCTCCCGCCGTGGGTGAGGCGAAAGCCAGTGTGGAGAGTCTCTTACTGACTAAAAAAAACACCCTGTTCTTTTTTCTGCCTATATTATTGCTTGATACTTGATACGCAACCCCATTGGGCCTCAGCCCTATTAGGCCCCGTCTGAAAATAATCATACCTAACAATACTTTTGAACAACATAACCTCGAATGTTTAATCAAGCGAAACTCATTTGAAAACATTATTAAAAGACCCTTAAAATAATCAACATTTCTATTTATATTATAATCCCGTCCAAAAAGGTTTCATCCCAAAAACTTTAATATAAATTTTAATTAAGTGAAGCTTACGTTGAGTGGGTGAGATTAAAATTAAATTGTTCATAGATATTGATTGCTAATACTGGGATATGACGTCATACGAGATATGACGCCGTACAAGTTGGTAATTCCTTGTTGAAAGTTTAAATTAAATCTATTTAACAAAAATTGGTGGATTGTGTAAGTCGTGCTTTTTGGGATAAATCGGCAATCATGTCGTCGGATAACCTAATGATGAATGATCAATCAGTTCTGCTCATGGACACCTGCAATTTCGAAGAGTTATAAGTGCAGCTTTTAGTTTCATTCGTGGTTTGTGGATTGGAATTACGGGCGGTAAAGATTGGGCATCCAGTAACTTCACTCATAACACAACACTCACGTCATTTCGTGTAGGTAATCTGTAAGGACTTGGTACCACACTGGTTGATACGGCCCATTCGTGCTGAAACATCTCCCACAAATTGCTAGAAAAATGTTCCAAACAAACAAAAAAAATTTTTTTTTTTTTGGAAACGCTTGGCAAATGATATCCGGGTCACCTAATCGTAAGCAATGCGCGTCGCTCATAGAAACCCGCAATTCTTAAACAAAGATTATTTTTACAAAAGCATGAAGCAGTCGTGTATAAAGGAATACATTATAATATCATGTGATACGTTTCTTTGCTATTAATAAATCATTCAATCTGTTTGAAAACAAGAAAGACCACTAAGAGTTTCTTGGACAGGCTTTTATACACTTAAAGAGGTCCAAACTTGACCATTCTTATTTTAAGTACGCTTTGTCCTTTTAGATATTCAATACTCTTTTGACAGACTTTTTTGCTAAGAATGGTTCGTAGAAAGGGATTTTTAGTGCGAGTTGTCAAAATGTCTTCAACAGATCTTTTTGTCATCACGAATTAAGGTATATTTTTTTTTCCCTATATGGCTTCCTGAAGCCAAGATCTTCAGTCATATCTCCTTTTTTACAAAAGAAGAAATTAAATACTATTATTAGAATATTCATTACGTAGGTTACCTTGACATGACAACACGCGTAGCACAAAAAAACGAAATCACAACCTTGAGGTTTACAAAAAAAAAGTCCCTATATTTATTCACATTTAGAATGTGGCCATGAGCTGTATATGCTTTGCCACACTTTATAAAATGATAATAATATACTATAATAATCGAGTCGACCTCCATAAATGTATTCTGTGGGATCCAGTTATGATGACACATAAATCATCACCAAAAAGGCCAAGGTAGACTCTATGGTCAGTTTGTTTAATTAGGCACTACTCAAACTTTGTCCGTGTGAGAAAAAGTCTTTGCCCAGCAGTGGGCACTTATAAGCTGATGATGAGGATGATACCCTGAGGTACACGAATTCAAAATAAGGGATCACAACCAACAGTAGCTTAAAAACGTTTGAAACAAAAACCTACAATTATTGTCAGAAATATTACATATTTACATTTTAGTTATACAAGATATTTATAATACCTAATGATCCCATATTGCAGACTGCTGCCTGTCAAGGAGAACTTCCTTTGTCGACAAGTCTTCAAGGTGAGTGACGTTTCATTTCCCGCCAATGTTCAACCGACGCCATATTGTCGAACCACAACTATAGAGAATATAGTCATTTATATTTTTTTATTCGTTCCATAAGTATGGTATTTCAATCGGAGAATTTGATTCGTATTTTTTATGTTTTGAATTAAACTTAATTCAATTTTTGACACCTTTGTAATATATTACGGATATGTAATAAATTTCTAACGAAATTGATGTTATATCAATAGAGTTTTGTTTTTATTTACATTATACTAATGTTTTCGTAGAATCTTTATTTTCTTGAGCATCCATTGAAGAACAATTAGATTTAATTTTAGTTTAGCAAGCACTCATTTCCCTTCCATTTCGTTTTGCTTCTAATTAAATAAAAATATAAAATTATTAAAAATAAATAAAATGTTTGCCGTCACTCACACATCATGACATTTCCACACTCACACATACTTACATCATGTACATAAATCGATTAGAAATATGTGTATTTGTGGCACGTTGACACTACGGTCATAAACCATAGATACTTCACTTTGTAGCTCTACGTGTCTATGGGTACCTAACAAACGGATCTTAGTCATTTCTATCAAAATTTTGGTACTAAAACTATTCTAAAAATATAAGCTTATCATAAAAACAATGCTATAATTATTATTAGCGATTGTTTTCATTGGAACCAATTCAAAAATGTTTATAAAAGACATTTACTACAACATTTTTTTAAAATAACTTCAACTCTGAATTTCACGTGCCAGAAACATTACAATAAAATGGAAATTAAGTAATAATAATAATATAAAAAGCACAATCCTGTGATTTATTTGCCTGTCTGTCTATCTATCTGTCTGTCTTAACACTAACGCTTATGTCTGCACTCTGCACTCCTAGGAGGGCATAGAGGTGAGTCCTCACGCTGCGTTTACACGTTGGCCTAACAATCAAGCAGTTATAATCTCAAAAAAATTGAAAAAAAAAAACGTTTTCAATTGGTTTTAAGATTTATTGTGCTAGTCCTAAAGGAGAAATTAATTATAATATAAATATTATTACGGGGAATTTATTAATGAGTTATTAAAATAAATTGTGATGATTATGGGAATAACTGATAGGAACTTGACCAACGTTTAAACGCGTCGTCACTTTTCTCTTTACAAATACACAAAAACAGCTTAAAACTCTAAAATTTTCGTATCTAATATAGAATATACTTAAATAACTTAGCTGTAGAAGCAATGCATCGGAAACTAAATTAGATTAAGTTTGAATATTACTTTAATTTCGTTTCAAATTTTATTTTGCGTATTAAAATTTATTTTCTCTGTATTTTATGCAATTTTTATGTTTTTATGAGAATTTTGGCGCCCAACATGGGACCAGCACCGTAGCCAACTTCAAAGTTCATCAAATCAAATTTATTCGATGACCACGTCAATAAGAAACCTTCATACGTTTCTTTTATTTATAAAGAGAAAACGTTTACTGATACTGAACTTGGCTTAGGATGCAGTTACATCAAAATTTGACTACAGACTAATGTACCTACTTATTTTTATTATCAGGGCGCAACAAAGCTAACAAAAGACGACATCGAAAGGGTCTTCTCACTGTATGATAGGGTAAGATTCGTCATTATCAATCTTTAAAATATCAATCTTACTTCTTATCTTACTAAAATATTATAAATTCAAAAGTTACGATATTTGGATGTTTGATACTCAATCACGCCAAAGCAGCTGGACGGATCTGGATGAAATTTAGCACAGGCACAGGATACACACCGGAATAGAACATAGGATACCTTTTATTAACATACCGGGCGAAGCCGTGGGCGGAAGCCTAGAATTCGATATTTTTTTAATACAGTTAATTGGTAGATTTATAGAGATATGAAAATATTTAAGAAAAAGGAGAAGAAATCAGTTTTATGTTGGACGATTTCAAGGTGTGATTCAGATAGGGCTCACAAGGCTGAGCTTATAAAAACCGATGACACATAGGTAAAACAGCTAGAGCACTATGTATAATAAATGTTTTTATTGAACTTACTTTTCAATAGTCATGTTATAAGTCCCATTACTTTTATAGTCTCCGTATTTATACCAACAATTTTTGAAACACCCCAATTACATCTGACCCTGGATCGAAATCTCCTCGGAAATCAAAATCCATTTTAATATGACGTCATTGTTGTAAAACAATATCAATCTTCCTGCTATTTTCCGTCACAGATTACCTATCTGTGACGGAAAAATAGTAGAGAGTTTTCCAGGAAAATTCAATCAAAGTTACATAACGAAGTCATTGAAACTGTTTCAGGACAACAATGGATCGATCGAGAACGAAGAGCTCCGGGGTTTCCTCAAGGATTTATTAGAATTAGTTAAAAAGGTTCGTAGTTTGTACAAAACTTATTCGTTCGAGGAATCGTATTAAAAAGTTAGCAGTGGATCCACTTACTGTAGTTTCTTTTTTATGTGTTTCGATCACAATTGTTACGATAAAGCCAAAGATTATTTTATTTGCCAAAAGACATGAAGCTTGTAATGATACCTGCATAAATGCATGTCTACCATAGATGCATAATGTGCAGTATTGCTTGTATATGTTTAAACTTTGGAAAATGGTTTTAATTAAAAAGTCAAATTTTAAAAACTTCCATATCAACTCCACTATACATATGTACACTGATAATTTCGAAACGTCACATAAAGAGTTAGAATGAACAATTCGTCAGTGAAGCTAAGGGCTAGTTCTTAATTGTAAATTCGTTCGGAGAATAATAAGCGGGAAACTTCATTAATTTGAGCGAAATAGGAGACACATATCGTCATAAAGTTACGTGTTTTAAATCCTAGCCTAGAAGAGTGAATATTTCACTACAAAATCCATATTTACTAGTTTTATAAGGGACTCATGTCATAATGCGTGAGCTCTTTTCCTTTTGCTAATAAAGAGTAAAAATCTCACGATAATTTCATTATGACCCATCTTATTTAACCACAACCGATAAATTGCATTGACATTAATATTATTTTATAAAAAATTCCAGGATTACGACGCGCAAGATTTGCTGGAGTTTGAGGAAACGATACTCCAAGGTGTAGAGTACAGCAGCGAAGGGAAGATAAGCAGAAAGCAACTGACGATGATACTCCTGGCCCTCGCTAAGCATCACCAGGAAGAAGAACCAGCTACTCCATAAGTAAATCTGAACGCAAACGCCACTCCGTCCCAATATCCGAACGAATTTCTAGCGTTGCGAACGTTTTGACACATTCGACGCCATCTTGGATTGTTTATGGTGTTTATGTTTTTGTTGTTGTTAGTGGTGTAAAGTCTTTAATTAAAAAGAGTGTGGTATTGTTTTGCTAAAGAAATTAAATTTAAACACATGGTGCCCCCTTTTTACACTAGCATTTTCTCCTGTGTCGTGGTTGCGTTTAAAAACATACGAAGTGACATACACAAACCACCCAGAACCGGGTCTGGACTCGAATCAACAATTTGTGCTACACATAGTGTTTTTCCGTGCGGTAATCGTACCCGCGACACGATGTACAGTGGCCAATTTTCCAGCAGCCACTAGCCGTTTACAGATAAGGAAAGAATAGAACAAGATTCAAGAAATAACACGACAATATCATACCTCGCAAGTTGTTTAACATACATGTGGTGCCATCTATTAGGAGATTTACGTACTAACTTATGCTTATGTCACTTGTTTTAAAATAATAACTATGAGTAGAATGTGTCAAAACAACATTTTTAAGGGCTGGGATAAATAGTTGTATTACTATTTTAATAATGTTAAATTAGCCGAAAACACAGATTATAAATAATTTCTATTTACATCCATAGCTAACGAAAAAGGTTTTATTCAAATAAAACACACAATATTTTTAGTCAAAAATAAAGCACAAATTAGAGATAAAATCAATCGATCTCTTTCAAGCTTCTTCACTAGTTTTATGACACTCTCAAATATTTGTATTTTTGTAATATTTTGATTTTGTATTAAACCCGCTACTGACCCCCAGTTTTGTCTGTACATATTGGTCTTGTAGTTGAAATCTCTACAGCCGAACAAATCGGGGATTCATAACTGGTTTCCTTGAGAGATTAAATCATCACCAGCCTACAAATGCCATCTATTGTGCAAAGGCATCTTTTTCACGCGATTATTGATTTCAAACTTGAAATTATATAATGAGGTTTTCTCGCGTTGCTTTTCTTCATCGTACCTCAAAATTATTGTCTAAATATACGAACGTAAACATATGCTATATATATATGCATATGCTCTCATGACCGAGATGAGAGCACATTCTGAAAAGGTCTAGAGATATTTTAAAAAGAGTGTCACGTATGGCTATTATGTACGTAGAAGATAGTAAAAAGCTCTTTGTGGATACCAGTGACGAAAGCCCATTTTTCTCAGAGGCTAGAAGTGACTAGTCTTCCACAAGTGTGGTAGAAAAACTGACAGACTGAGCAATAAAACTGAAGGTCAGTAACATTTTTATTAAAGAGTCTATTTAAATCCGTCTCTACGTTAAGGTGGAAATACATTACTATAATATACATATACTACGTAATATAATATGAATAAATTAAATTGTCTCTATACGTAATATAAATATGAATCCGTTCGGTTTCTGACACGACAATAACCGGATACTAAAAAGATATTTTATTTCCACCTTTATTGTTGAAAGAATACGTCATTTGAAATTACTAAATCCTATGCTTAAGTAGAAACTCGACTAAACTAAATCGACTATTTATCGTAACTCTAGCAAAGAGCTTACAATTTATTTATCTATTAATTAATTTATTAACATATTATTTTGTTTCTCAAATACGTAACTAAACACGTAAATTAAAGTGCAAATGTTAATTGATATCAATCGATTATTACTCGTAACTATATATTACATATACATTGTCATTATAAAGCCAAATCGTATGCCAAATATTTTAAAACTAGCTATTCTATCGGCTCTTGGTTTAAATGAGAATTAGGCGTCTGTCTATCTAATCCCTGAAGCCAAATGACACTGGTCGATCGAGATGGAAAAGTCAATTATATGATCCTTTTTTGAAGGGGCATCATTCACTCCTCCCACCAGGGTGGGGCGAGACTCTTGCTGACTAAACAGTCGATTCAGTGACGGTTGGTTGACGTGACAATGTTAAACATTACAGTAACATGAACCAAATTGAGCTGATCGCTAGGACCGATCATGCCTCTCTCTCATTCATGCAGCGCTCTCGCTTACGGAACGTGACAATGGACATCACGGGACAATGACGTCATCTTTATCATGTATGTAGCCCGTAGTTCTGTAATTAGACAATGTCACGTCAATTACAACCGCCCCGTTCATTTTCCTGCTCCAACCTAGGGCATCATTGTACTACCGGCAATTCTACATTATATGGGGCAGACATTTATTTTGATCTTATTAGTCGATCGTCAGTGTTTGTCCTGTATATTGAGAGTTCTTCAATTACTCGTTCGACAAGCTGTCTAGTCTAGGGGAGGTATGGAGATAAGAGTAAATGGTAGAAATCGGATAAGAGTGGAACGTTAACAATCGATTTAAAACTTTAGTCGATTTATCTTTACTACGATTTTAACTCGTCTTTCAAGTCAATTCGTACACTTTTAGGCACATTATCCATGTAGGTTAAGGGCTAAAAAATGCTCATTAGATGCTTAGGTGCCATAGATTTAAATACGTAAGCGTCTCCCCGCCACTAACCGAGTATCAGTCTCTTTTTTATTTTTACCAAGAGATTATCTTAAACTATTTTCATAAATTATTTTAAAAGAAATTTCTGGTTAAATATCTCTTTACACACATAATGGTACATATCACTCCAAGTCAAGTTTAACACAATGTTTTGGATGAACTCTATAACAATAATTAGTAGGTACAAAATACAATGCTACAATGATTACAGCAAATAAAATACTACTACGATATTGGACTACGCCGTAGCACTAGTATTGTCTACGGCGTAGCAGTACGTAGGAACACTACGAAGATTGTCCGTTTCTTTGAAAAAATCAAAATATTTATATTTTTATGAACAGCCAGAATTGCTCAATTATAAATCAGAAGTTTTTATTCAAAATCAAGCTTTCACTTTATTGCGCATTGTCGAAAAATAATTGTTACACTACAATGCACGTCACCGTTGTTATCGATGAGAGCATTGAGTTTCGCAATCATAATTAAAATTATTATCAAGGGCTGCTCAAATGGAAGATCAAATTTCGCAAATCGTAAACAATCTGGCCTAAAATTAAGATTGTACTATTTTCTATCTCTCTACTCTTACAAAATCCTTCGTCCATTCAATCTTATTCTTAAAAAGCTAGGAGTCTAAAATGGCTGCAAAAATATTTAAAATTTATCGGTGTAGCTTTACTAAATGTCTCCTTAGATGTTTCTCTAAATGTCTCTTCGCTTAAAATCCTTGTGTAGATAGGCAGCTAACAATAAATTGTGATAATAAAAAAAAACTCAATAAAACTAAATAAAATTACGAACAAAACAAATCGGCTTTCGAAATCCCGCCATTGTTTTCCTATTTTTTTATACGACCACATTAATTCGATTAAGGCCTGATTTTTCAATAGTCAGATAAATGTAATCTGAGGAATAAAATTGTTGCTGTCACTGTCTTCTACAAACATTCTAACGCGACAGCATCATAACTATTCCCCAAATAATTTTTACCATTGAAAAATCAGCCCTAAAATGAAAATAACAATTGTGTTTTTGTGTAACAAATTATAAAATATGGGTGTATTTAATAATACTGTATCATAATTTAATGGTTTAGTAAGTATTGTATTGTTTTGTAACTTATAAAGTGATGTTAATTAGTATTTTGTATAAATTGTCTTGAAAACTAGTTAAAATGAAAATGGAACTTGCATAGATCGATCGAGAAGAAGAATCATATTCTGAAATCTGAATATATATTCTGACCTCTCATTAAAATGTTAAGTTTTGTTTTTATTTTTCTAGTTCGAGCTTAAATCGATGTTAAATTTAATATAAATGGATATATTATAGTAGTTATTGGTGAAATACCCTGATTGTGTGTAGCGGCCTTCTGTGTATTATTTAAAAATGAATAAAAAAAAATATAATGAATGTGGATTGTGGGCAAAAGAGTTAGGTGGGTTAAAAATGTAAGTTAGTTTGCCAGAGAGAAAAACCAAAATGGCGCTAATTTTTTTTTACATTTTTTATATTTTTTTGGAAAAGTAAAATTTATGATTTTCATTCCTGCTTATACTTAATGTTCTTCTTTGAAATTGAGATTACGGTTTGTAGAAAAACATTTTTTTTTTATTGGCGTGTTCAATATTTCTTTTTTACCCGTGTGCTAACCTCTTTTGCCTTTAGAACCTACCTAATTATATTTTGTATTAACAAAACCATAAATATGTGTTGTGATGGTATAATGTCTAGCTTTAAATATAATCTACCAATGAGTTACAAAACTTACGCACAATGAAACATCGCTCAATGTTTATTATCAGTTAAAGTTTTCTTTTCTGTGATTTAAATTTGTTTATGTATCAAGTAAAATAAATTGTTTAAGTCCGAATTAAATTTTCAATTTTTAGTCACTGTCATTTAAAATGTTTTGTATAATTTTTCAAAGTTATTTATTTATATTTGATGTTTCATTGTATTAAGTGATCACTAGTTTAACTAAACCCAATGATTTCAAAAATCGTTTTTAGTATACGTTCCTTTGAATTTTTAGCTACTTTATAGCATTTTTTTTTATTTATGTCCATGTACCTACAAACGAATGATGTTATCAGGGCTTATTTTTTAATGATTTATAAATAAAGGATACTAGTCACTATTACAAATTAAAAATTCCATTCAAAATAATACCTCTTTGTTAAAAAGAGACACGTTCTCAATAAAAAAAAATTCAACACATTTCCTAATAAAGGGACTCTTATCCCATGGCAATTAGGCACATAATGACATCTACAATGAAACTTTGACTTTTTCATTACAATTCACTAGTGAGTTTTTTTTTATATTTTTGGTTGAGTTTACTTACATTTGTGCTCAAATACTAAACGCGAAATACCCAAAAAAAGACTAATTTTTAAGTCTATGGCTGATGCGCGCGCTTAGGAAATCTGATTAATTTTTCCCGCCATTACGATCAGTTTTCACATCGTCTCGTTTTCAACTTTTATGTTTTTTTAATTAAGTATTTTTTTATTCAAAAGTGTGTTGAAAAACGTCGTGTGATACACGTGTGTAATTGAAATTTTTGTGTTTAATTGTGTGTTTGTGTGTATAATTGAAAAATTGAAATGCGATTACTGTCCTCGGCTCCATAAGTTCCTCGCCTGACTCGGGCCTCAATGCGCCTTAGCGGTAATCGCCAACATTACAAACTTGTAACATAATGTACTATTACCAAGGAAATCACATCTGAATGCCAGGAAATTATTTTAAATCAATTAAGAAATCAGCTCTGATCCATAATTATTCACAGGTCTATCTTTTATGAGTATATCCCACAACTTATTTCTGCCTGAGTTTCAAAAATAGTTAACCTATGTCTACATTATAATTGTGTATAAGTACATATATGTTTATATTATTCTTGTTGTTTGTGAATCATTACCGTTTAGTTTATGGATTGTTTCGGTTTCGCCTGGCACTAAGTGTTAAATGTAAGGTTGGATACGATGTTTGTTATAAAATGTTTATATTTGTAATCGTGTTTCATTTCTATGACATTTTTCTTTTATTTTATGGAATACGCCTTCAAACTAGCAGGACGAATTACCTATGGTAAGCAATTGGCGCCGCCTATGGACACCCGCAACAACGGAAGAGTTACGAGTGCATTGTCGACCTTATAGGAATTAGGGTTTAGGTTATTTAGGGATTGGATGAGGGTAAGGATTGGGCCTCCGGTAACCTCTCTCACATGGCAAAACACAACGCTGTGGTGGTTTCACGCCGGTTTACTGTGAGGCCGTGTCATCACTCTGGCCGAGCGAACCAAGCTACTGACCAGAGCAATGTTTGCCGGCCTAGTAGTTCTATAATATACGCTCTCACGTAGTCAAGAAATCATCGAAAAAGTCGAGGATCAAAAAATAAACAACAGTTCAGTTTTTTCCCCAAGATAGCAGTCCGCATATATAAACTTTTAAGCGCTATTAAAAAACAAGACATTACACTTAGTCGTGCTGAAATTAATATGATTTTTCATGATCCAGTTAAACTTGGAGTACATTTCATTCTGTTAATTATTCTACGTTTACTATATTAAACTTTGAAAGTAGTTCGCATCCAATATTTTTAAGAGACGCTTCCAAGTCATTCTTTATGATGTTAAATAGCATCGGCCCCAATATCGATCCTTGATAAACACCAGAGCGAGTCAGATATGGAGCTGTGAAACGAACTAATCATGCTTCGCTTTATATTGTTAGCGATGGCTTTATTAATTGTATTGCCAAAGTATTTAAATAATTTGAAAGAAAATCTCATTTTATGTAATTTACATCAGAACACCTTTGTCAACCTTGTCAAACACCTCCTTAAATTCAATATAGACATAATTGATTATATCTAATTATTGTGAGCCAAATGGTAAAAGTTTAATATTTACAAATAACGGTTTATTCTGAAGCTATGTTGCAAATTGCATATAATAAACACCTACCTTATTTCACACCGTATTTCAATACCTACTTACATTATGTAATATGGATTCAAACAATTTTGGCAATCATGTGGTAAACCAACGTAACCATAGTCACTGGACGCTCATAGAACACTTCAAAATATTGTGTCATGATATTTTATAGTTGTAGAAGACGACTAAATACTTGTTGCAATACTGATACATTGCTCGTAATATTTTTTCAGGCGATTTGTTACGCTGAATTTATTTTGGGTAATGATTTTTTTGTATTGAATTATTATCGGTTAATAATTGGATAAGATACAAATCGTTATTTATCGCGAATATTTGAAATAATACATATCTCAATAGTAGCTGTAGTATAATATAACTATATTCTAATATTTTAATATGCTAGTCATTTCATATGTTTTAAATATTATAATATGTAAGTTACATTTTAAGCACTTAACTGTAGATACCTCGACCTAGTACAAAATGCTGTCTTTTACTAGAGCACAAAAGTCTGTGCATGTTTAGTGCTATACGGGGGGACAGACACTTAAACGTGTTTTTTCTCAGATGTTGTTTGATCCTCAAATATCGTTCCATGATCACATGAGAGCGATTACCAGTGATTTCTTTTTTTGCGAAGGAAAGCAAGCAATGAAATCTGCTTCATAAGGAATTCTCGTATTACTTACCATTTTACACTTGAAAGAGTCCAAAAAGCATTTATGAGATTCCTCGATAGAATAAGTTCGTTCATGGTTCGTAGTTTGTACTAAACAAATAACGTTACGTTACATTTAATTTCTAAAAGTATGCAGAGTAATTTTATATACAACATTTATCGACGGCTCCACCGAATCAGCCCACCACCAAGCTGGTTGAGTCGAGTCAGCCATGGATAGGCTCAACCACTTTATTGAGAGCGGAACAACTCAACACACAGCGATAGACGGACATTTCTCAGCCCAAGGCCACGCGACAATGAGATGACTCCAGGGGAGCTTACAACATGTCATACATTTTATTTGGTAAGCCTCGTGTATGCAGCATCGCGGGGGCGCGTGACCAGAAGCCCTGGTTCTTAAGGGATTCCTTTTCTGTCTGTATGTATACATACCAGGTTTGATACCTGGTAGGTATACATGTGTATAGGAAGTGATTTTTTGGGTCATGACTCCTGAGAACATTTTTGTCTCAATGTATCTCACGCTCGACTTGGACGAGTATATATGCTTCTATAAACTATATTAAGAGCATATATTATGCAGATAAGTATATATAAAAACCCTTCGACAACAGCTGCGGTTGGCACAATCAATGAACAGGAGCTGATACATATCACCAATTAGCAGAACTTCCTGAGCTTCGTCAAATTAGTTCGTTAGAGTATCATCGACGACAGGTCTCACCCCTCCAAGCCATTTATTCTAAGCCGTGTTAAAGTAGTAAAAAAAGCCTCAAGCCGGACCGCGGTTCATTATTTGCGCTCCCCAACCACAGCCACAAACATATATTAAGATTGTGGATGGGGTAAACGTTTTTTTCTGAAACAGGCCTTGCGTTCCATGGTTTATGTTTAGTTGGGTGAAATGAACACTTAGTTCCATTGCCACAAACTTAATAGTTTTCCCAACATTTTGAAAAAATGGCAAGTAAGTAGACCTCGCTAAATTAGGCTCCGATCTATGACGTAGTTGCAATTTTAGTAAACAAAGCAAAAACGAAGCAATTCTAATTGTAATTGTATAAACATATTTATTGCAAAGAAATGTGTAGATTTTGACGTCCATAAAATTAATATAAATCAGTTATATAAGGAGTACGAGATCCAATGCATTTGAGCCAAGTGTATGTGATAGGCCGTCAAATGAGAAAACGGGTCACCTAACGCGATCGGTAGCATTAGTACTTCAAATGCCAGAGGTGCTACGACTTGCAAGGAGATTCGAGGATTTAGAATAATTTAGGTCCACACCGAGCCAGCTTCTAATGTTATACAAAGCAAAGGTCCAATCGTGTGTGGAGTACTGCAGCCACATATGGGCTGGTGCTGCAAAATGCCACTTAGCGGCTTTGGATTCGGCTGCAGTCTTTCCGTCCAAATATAATGTAGGTGTCTTCAAGGCTAGAGTGAATAGGCTCTTAATAAACTAGTGCGCCTTACCATCAACGATTGCATCACTTGACAGTTTACGTCGGCAATGGCGATGCTTGTTGTGGCTTGCACACATGAACTACAAATGAGGTTATAAGTGGCAAGGATAAGTAGAAGAGTTAAGAAAATAAAATTATTGAACGGCTCTTTGCGCTGTCGTACGCATCCAGTCCAACAACAATCAGTGCACAATATCACCTATTGACCAAAATAATACAAATAGTATTTTAACAAAAATGTTTTTATTAGATAGAGTTATATTACTTAATCGTCGCATACCAGCACACCGTACACATCAACTGTGTAAGAGAAAAACGTATTTTCTTCAGTGTTATAACCTAGTTTGACGAAATTTTGTCCAAGACCTCCTTCTAAGACGTATAGGTTTAAATCCGGATAACCGGGCCAGCCCTCAACTCTTGTAATTCTGGCGTAGTCGACCAAGCGTATAAGTATTTCTTGTCTGTGAGCGATTCTATGTGATTCCTCAACATAGTGATATGTCCTGGAAATAGTAAAGTTAGTTAAGAGCCGAATCAATTCAACAGCTAACCTTTAAAAAAAAAAAATATTTTATGGAAACAAAGGTTTCAAGTTATAATTAGTTGCAAGTCAATCGGGTAGACTCCTCAGTCAAATTATTTTGGGATAAATTGGGCCTCCAACAACCTCACTCACACGGCGAAATACAATGTAATTGTGTTGCTTCACGCTGGTTTTCTGTGAGGCCGTGGTGACTCCGGTCGAGCCGGCCCATTAGTGCCGAAGTAATTAGTAGATATTATTTAATAAATGTGGGAGGGGTATGCTCCCACACTTATTAAATAATATCTACTAATTTAAAATGTGAGTTTTCATTACTTAAAACAAATAAGCGTGCTATTTAACGTAAAAATGACGTGAGAAATGCTCATCTGCGTAGTCGGATGGTGAGAATATTGTTAAGGAATTATCCATAAGGACTTACTTGGACAAAAGTCTGTCATCACCGCCACTTTTTGATCCTAAGATCAAGCGTAGATTTGACGCATTTTCTTTTGGTCTTCTAAATTCAGCTTCCGAAAGATCTACAGTTGCATACACATAGGTAACTGCTAGCAATGCTATCAACAAAAGACTCTTCATCTGAAACGGAATATTTATTTAATGATTATTGCTTGCTTTCGTTGATTCAAAATCAAATAATATATAAATAAATCAAAATAAAAAAAATCATTTATGTAGAGTAAGAAATGTGTATTTTATTGACTTTCTATTTGTACAGTACCTTAGTTGTTGGGCTCCGAAACGTTGTGTCACTGAAATTAATCCTGTACTGTAATCCATACGACTTCCTTCATTAGGTATTTATACACGAAATTAATGCGGTATCTGTCAACAGGATAAGATTAAACAGCTATCATTTTAATACTCCTATCTCTTATCTCATCGCATCCAGGTGGTTACCTAATGATTACATATTATTATTTGCCATTGACATTTACCTGGATAATTTCTGGAACTGAGGGATTTTGAGCCATTTGCAATCACCAAGCTGCCTTCACAAAAGAATTTCTGTCCTAGTCTTTTTGCTCGCGTAAAATTTCCGTAGAATAGGTAGTTTCCTATGCCAAAAATATTTTTTGTGTCTTATCAATAGGAACAATGAATGAAAGATAAATATAATCATATTTCATTGATAGATTTTACGCCATTTGACTAGTTGGAGACTACCGGATTCTCTTGTGTAGTGTTTTTAAAAATGGATTTCGCAATGATCTAAGGTTTGCCATTCAGTGGTAAAGGTTGAAGGCGCGTTATAGTAATGTATATCTTATTAGCCTTGAAAGGACATATCTGCAGTAGGCAGCTAGATAGGAAGAGTATTCCAGTCGATCGACAAGTTGATGACGTTCAGCGCTCTGATTGGTCTGTTACGATTTACCCATCCAATCAGAGAGCTAAACGCAGAAACATTTCGATCTGGTTAACTTAAAGCAAAAATAATGCACTTGAATCTCTGGTCATGATTGAATTTAAGTATGTGGTGCTTGGTACCTATTATGTGAGAATAAAATTTAAAATGGTCCAAAATTATTATATGGTCGAAGTCAAAGTCAAAAGTCAAAAATCATTTATTCCAATTAGACCTTTACAGGCACTTTTGAACGTCAAACAAAATTTAAAATAAAAAATAGTGTCAGTCTGTCGGTCAGTCCTCTTAGTGAAGCTATTTGCTCGTTCCAAAGTGTAGATTCCGATGGAGAAGAACGAGCAAGAAACTCCATGGTTACTCTTTTTAAATCAGTTTCACATACAGATTCCTTTTACAAACAGTTGGTTCAATTATGTGAGAACAGTGTAACACTAATATTTATTCAAATATAAAAATTAAGTAACCTTAAGGACAATAGACAGTCTGGAGCTGACCAGTCCCAACTGACGGCGCTCGTTCACGAGCATGACACGTACACCAGCATCGCCCAACTCAACCATATTATAGGGAATTAAGCGATCCAGTGCCCATGCCACCGCCAGTGTGACCTTTCAGTGAGCAAGACAACTCCAAGCTGTTATAAGGACCGACATTCTGCTAGTCTAACCAATTATAATAGGTTACAGGGCACTCACATTTACAAATTTATCAAGTTATAGTTATACAATATAATGCAATTTCACTAAAATGAAGAAGTCCCGTTCAAGCAAAATCCATTGGAACGTTATTTATTTTGGTGTACGTTTGCTATCCTGTGGAGCAGGACCAGCATGTCTCCAAGCATCTTTATCTACAATGTAATCATTCAGTGTGTAGTATGCTTTTCTACATAAAGTTTTCTTTACACATAATTTAAAATTTCTTTCATTTAATTGTTGTATTTCGCCTGGGATTTTGTTATAACATTTAACACAGAATCCCATGAACGACTTATGTATCTTTGCCAATCTAAATAATGGCTGACATAATCTATCTCTATGTCTAGTTTGATAATTATGTCTATCTGACACCTTATCGAATATTTTTAAGTTTTTCCTAACATACATAATCTATATACATATAATAAAATCGTAGGAAAGTCAAAACTGTACATTGAATATATTTTTGAAATAATACCTGGGGCGTGATGTACAATCGATACTGAAGCCAAAAATATGGTTTTTAGAATTTTTGTCTGTTTGTCTGTTTGTCTGTTTGTCTGTATGTTTGTTACGGATAAACTCAAAAAGCACTGCATGGATTAAATTGAAATTTTGCATGAACATAACTGATAGGTCGGTTCAACACATAGGCTACATATTATCACGCTATCACCTACGGGGGATGAGTAATGAACCTTTATATCTGTAAACCTTACTGAAGCAGCATGTAGTTTTACCTCATACACATTTAAATGACGTTTGTAAGCAGGTTGTTTGACAGGACGTGCTATCACAAACCTAGACACAAAAAAAATGAAATATAAAATAAAACATAGACTTATATTGGTAAAATTCTTGCTTCGGAATTCATACAATATTTTTGTGTATAATTATAAACATAGGTGTGATGAAGAACTAGCATTTTTTTTTTATTCATATGCGGTTACGTTTTTTTTACGTTGAAAACGTATTCAGTCGTAATTGAGAAATTATTATTGTTTACCATGTAAAAATGTTTCCATTTTCCTAACTAGATGGTGTTGGCGTCGAATTAGATCGCGCTATGGTTTCGTTCACAAAAAGTGATGTTATGAGTACCGATGTCGCCGCTTCAACCTATAGAAACGGGGGTTACCTGCGTTGTTTATAAGTTATCGAGATTCTCAAATTATTTTGTTTACTTCGTCTTAATTGGTCTTTTAGTAGTAAAAATGCCCAGAAAGCGGTCTAATCTATCACAATCGTCATACCATTCGCGAAAAAGAAGGTTAGCTCGATCCCTTGAAACTGCTGACGAGCGTGAGGCCAGGTTGACTGCTGTTCGTGAACAAATTGCAGAGACTCGAAGAGGAGAATGTAGTACGGCGCGCCAGTCGCGATTAGATACCATGCTCACTCAAAATGCATTGTCGCGGTCTCAGGAAAGTGCAGAAGCACATGAGATGCGGCTGTCAATTGACCGAGAGCGCCATGCTAAGTCACGCGCGTCAGAGACGTTCACGCAGCGAGAGACGAGGCTGAGTTCTCAGCGCAACCGCACTGATGTCGCTCGATCTTGTGAGAGTGTTGAAGGACGACAAGCGCGTTTGGAAAGCGATCGGGAGCGCCACGCTGAGTCTCGCGCATCCGAGACGTATACGCAGCGCGAGACGAGACTAAGTTCGCAGCGCAGTCGCACTGATGCCGCTCGATCTTACGAGAGTGTCGAAGCGCGACAAATTCGACTGGAAAGTGATCGGGAGCGCCACGCTGATTCTCGCGCGTCTGAAACGTACACGCAACGAGAGGCGAGGTTATGTTTGCAGCGGAGCCGCGCTTCTTTTTCTCGGTCGATTGAAGACGATGAAGAACGGGAGACCCGCTCAAGAAGAGACCGCTCTCAGCATGCCCTGTCACGTTCTTTAGAGACAGATGAGCAGCGTGAAGAACGTCGTGCAGCTGCTCGGCAGCGGTACCACGAACTGCTTGGAGACTCATCTATCACAAGAACGGGACAGAATTCAAGAGATTCGGGGAACTTGGTCGGACGAACAGCGTGCGGCACAAGTAGAACAAGATCGCCTGCGTCGTAACGTAAATCAGCTTTCAACATCTGATGAGGAATCCACGGTTTACGATATCGAAGAGCAACCATGGCTAAACAAAGAGGGAAGTGGATTTATGTACAATGTTGCGATTAACTACGCCGCTTATGGCAATATTGGTGCCTTAGAAGAAGTGTGTGCTCACTGCCAAGCACGCAAATGGAAAGGGGAGCCAAATGGGATGTGTTGTGCATCTGGTAAGGTCCGCTTGGACTCTATGCAGGACCCGCCAGACCTGTTAAGAGTCCTATTAAATGGCGAGCATCCAAAGTCCAGCCATTTTTTGAAAAACATCCGAGCTTATAATAGCGCCTTCCAGATGACTTCGTTTGGTGCAAATCAAATCGTTGAAGCAGGATTCATGCCAACATTCAAGGTGCAGGGGCAGGTTTATCATCAAATCGGTTCTTTACTACCAACAGACACGCCAAAATGTTTGCAAGTTTATTTTATTAGCGATTTCGATGAACAAGCCAACGTGCGAAGCAGACACATCCCCAATTTGGACTCTGGTCTGGTCAGGGGATTGCAAAGTATGTTGCATAATGTGAATCCACACATTGAGAACTTCAAAGCCGCCCTGGCGTCGGTGCCTGAGAACGAGCGCAACCGCTTTAAGTTTGTCATCAGCGCAGATAGAAGACCGATCGCAGCCCATCCCGGGC